AGATGACGTTTTTTTACAAACTTGAGTAGCATAGCAAGCGAAGTTTTCAGATGATCCAAAATACTTCCCTTTTTAAGGTTGGTCGTTTCTGACAACCAAAACACAATATTTTTCATAACATATGAAGACATTTCTTCGTAAATAGGCTTCAAAACGTTTTGAGCAATCCACCTCAAGACAACAAGAACTTTAATCTGCATATCACTAAACTGCTGAACCAAGTATATCTCAATCTGGATAAAACTTATACGCCATTGTAAATCTGAATCGGATGATCCTTTCTCGCCGACTGGAACGAGGAACAATTGGATAGATTTTGCGTGATTGATCATTTTTGTGGTAGGCCAATTGTAAAATCTTTTCCTATTTGCCCATTCTTTAACAGCAGATGCGGATTTAAACTTCAAAGCTGGAGTGCAATCTTTTTTGCTGATAAATGTTTCTCCACTGAATAATTTCAAAATATCGTCATACCAGTCGGCTGTTTTCAGTGTTTCTGGTAAAGATGGACCACGCCTTGGAAGCCTTATAGATGAGCTTTTGATCCAACCTGTATTAGTGCGTAGATATTTTCCATTTTGTTCAAGAAATAAGGTACTTGATAGATACATTTTTTCGTTCTTCCTTACTACCGATTCCGTAACAAACTTTTGTTTGGTAGTAATATCTTCATTGAAACACACTAATATATATCCAGGCGGCGTTTCTCGATTATCAGTGTAAACTAACAACTCATCTGATCCTTTCTTTCGATGGTATCCTTTCTTTGTGTCAATACACAAAATATTCTCAAATACAAACATTAAATCTGTATCACTTTCTCTCAGAAGAGAAATCCCTTCACGTTTGCTGCCGACCAGAATTTTCTTTATATGCGTGTAACCAGAGAGTGCAATAAAAGTCCGTCTCATTGCTTCCGATATTTTGTTAAAAACTGTCACCCTGTCTGTTGATTCCTTCTTCGAATATCCCAGCAAATTAAGAAGATCGTAAGTTGTTTCGGAAATTTTCGCCTTGTCTGGATTGTCACCAAAAAAAAAATTAAACTTATTTTGCTGCAAACACAAGTCGTTAATCGATTTAAATTCTTGCCACGAAAGAGACCAAAGTTGATTTTTTTTCTATTGCACGTTGCACATTTCTGCTTAAACGTCTATAAGAAAACAGTCCGTCCATTTTGAAATAATGAAAGTTATAAAGCGATTTATTTAAATTCCAACACATAATCAAATAAGCGACTGGTGTAGTATCAGGTTACAGTTTGGATCTATAACTTTTACTTATATTTCATAGCGATCATTTTTTTTTCAAGTTTAATCATGATTTTTAAAGCTATTATGCTCCGGTGTATATTCAGTAAACTTGGAGAAACCAACCTGCAAGCAAAAACGTGCATACCTCTTTGAATAGTCGGGTAAAGGGCAGTTAAAATGATCTTTTAAGATAAATATAGATCCAGTATTGATCTGGCACATTTAATCACAGAGCAATATTTAAATTGCGTAATTTATCGATCCCAAAAATTAACCATACTTTAATTTGAATCTTACATCATTTTTGACAGTGTGTGTTATGTATTTTTTCTCTTCTCTCTGACAAAAGAAATTAGAAAAAAATATGTCTCAATAATGAAATCCGAAGTCCCTGCAAATTTTAACTAGATCTGCCACAAGAGAGACAAACAACCCATTCCATCTATAGCAAATGATTTTATGTAGGCCCAGTTATTTCTTAAGACAAATAATTACGAACGCTAGTTTGAAGAAAGTCCTTCAAGTGAGGACACAAAATTGTCTTACATTTGACCTAAAAGGTGACCATGACCATATAGGGTTGAAGAAAACATACAAAAGAGTATCGAATTAATTTTGCGGCCACAAAATTTTTCGATCCTGCACAATGGTGGCATAGGATCTGAGCATTAATGAGGTGTAAAGTAAGTTTTAAGAAAATCATACAATAGGTATCGGGTTGATAGAGAAGACACAAACTCATTTGATATTTGACCGTAAGAACAGCGGCACATTCCCTTGATGATGTTTACATGTGTTCACATTTTTATAAGAACTTTGACCCCTACATTAAATGTGTGACTTTAACCTTGGCCACAAGGACTAAATTTTGCACGTGACACTCCGCCTCACCATGATGAACATTTGTGCCAATTTATATTGAAATCCCTCTATGCATGTAGAAGTTTTGCTCTGGACAAGCGTTTTTCAATGACCTCTAAGTTTGACCTTGACCTTTGACCTAGAGACCTGGTTTATGTGCATTACACTGCCTCTTATAGTGGCGAATATGTCTATGAAGTTTCATTAGTATCACTTCATATGTGTAGCTGATATGCTCTGGACAAAATCTCTATATTTTATCACCTTTAGTGACCTTGACCATGCATATATAAACCTAAATTACATGTTTCACACCCGTAGTCATGATAATGGCCATTTATGTTTCAATTCCTCAATAAATGATGACTAAATGGTCCAAATACACATTTTCATATTTTTATCTGAACTTTGACCCCTATGTATGACCTTGCCCTTGGCCGCAGGGACCTAAATTTTGCACAATGGTGAACATTTGTGACCCGATTTTCAAACAGGAGTATAAAAATAAAGGATATACATAGTGAACAAGAAGTTGTGTGACAATCGCCTTTGAACTGTTATTTTGATCTTGAGAAAACATTGGCTCTGCATATGACCTTTTTGAAAATCTTTCAAGGGGTAAACAGTTGACAGGGTGGCCACAAAATTTTCTTACACTTGATCTTCACATTGAGCATTGGCGTTAAACTCCCCAGTGGTTTAACTCCAAGGCGGTACCCGCTGTGTCTCTTCACGTGTTTTTCATGTCTGTATTGTTACTGGTTTTTAAATGTTTACATGTTTTGTGATGTTCGCCTTGTTGGATTGTCGTTTACGGTAAGTATTTTTTCACCCTCCTCCCATATTTTTACCCCCTCCCCTTTTCACCCTTTAATTCCCATATGGGCCCGTTTTAGTTTATATCATTTCACACATTACATGTCCCTCTCCTTTCGCCGCCCTTATGTCCACTCCAGGTTGTTATTTGGTGCCTTCTGGGTGCCCTTTTTGGGTGTGTCGGGGGGGGGGGCTGCGTACTGTAAACGTTGCCTTTACCTTGTTGTTGATCTGTATTCTTGTTGTTTTTTTTGCATAATGGCTGCATAGGCTCTGCACATTGTCTTGTTCAAGTGGACATTAGAGCCAAGATTGAGTAAAACCCTCCAAAGGATAACAAATTTCTTAAAAACCAGCAGACAACTTACCTAGTGGATCTATCATAGCCTACCCATTATCTACGATGGATGAATTTTATTTCAGATATTGATATGAACAGTAGAAATGTATCATTTTGATAATATATCTCTGGAAAATAAATATAGACTTCTATAATGATTTAGTATTGTTGTAGTTTTAGCAATGTACCTGGTTAAGGTTTGATATTATGATTAAGTTTGTATGAGAATTGAGACCTCATATGTTGTCATTATTTATTACTATGAATCTGTTGGGGTTAGACTGTGTATCAGTCTGGGAAATTTAAGTATAGTAACTCTGTCAACAGTTACCTGCATAAATTATGGACAAGAGGTCTGCAATTGTTGTGCTTAGGAAACTCAATCATTGGTTACCATCATAAATATTCCAGGAATCAGACTGTTTGTTTCTGGTACAGTTACTTGATCAACACTTGTCGTCATAAATATAGAAGGCTTAAATTTGTCAATTAACACTAAGGTAACCTCAAAATATGGAGAGAATAGGTATTTCATATAAATACTGGAACAAGATTTTCTAGGGGCATTCTAGATTCAGAGTCAGGATTCTAGACTGAAGTTTGAAGAATGAGACTCAAGAGTGAGATGTTAAGAGCTAGATAGTGAATTCTCAGTCACTTATCAACCATGTGTGAGGAAGAAAAACTCTGTAACTTTAATTATTAATTGTAGAGTAGAAATTTAGAACATTTTCAACAAATAAACAGTGAAATGAACTTAAGAACAGTTATTGTATATTTTTTATGTGAAATTATGGAAGTAGTAGAAATTATAAATTACGGGAGAAGAGAATTTATAACAGTATGCAAATATATATCATGAATTATACTTTGTTCTAAAACACTTCTATTATCTACTATATATTGTTATGTCATACTTACGAACAACATCCACATATTCTTTTGTGGTTTGTTTTCATGTATGATAACAAGTACTATCAACATAATTATATACAGTATTACAGATCTTACATTTATAGACCAAATAAACTTTAATGTGATTGAGTGTGTTGAAGGTTTAAAATAAACAAACACCGTAAAGGCCATAGGTGGACCTTCCATCAAAACTGAGGAACAAAGTTCTCCAATGCCCCTCTGTACATTATTAGTGGTGGAGGAAGACCTCAGGTGCCATTTCTTGCATTAATTAAGGCGCCATCGGTCATCCAAGTAGATCCACTGACGTTTTATATGCAAATTAGATAGCTTCCTCAAATGAAGGAATCAAAAGTCCCTGGCAGGACTGAAACTTAAGGATGATGGGCAAGTGGTTTGAAGTCCCAGTAACAGATTAACCTCTTCCTGGATAAAACCTAATAAGGTAAAAGACTATATTAGTTAAACTATGTGTGTAGGATTACTTAAGACATAAACAACATCATTTTGGTTATTTACATTTATTTGAACACGTTCATGTTTTGTCATCAATATTGAAACTTGGATTTGAAAAATATGAGAACATACATGTAGTCATTCAAAAATAACAGACATACACAGCACATATTGTTGATAAAAACTTTATGTTAGCAGAGATAAGGGAACATAAATGTGACTATATCCATGTTACATATATTGCAAAAAGTTTTTTTTTAATCATTTAATCAATAATGAAATATCTACTATAGTGCAGAAGTAATATTTATAAAGCAGATCTTTTTCATTCCCAAACAGGCTTTTTTTGTTACTTAAAAATTTCTATGAATACTGTCAACATAAATGTCTCTGAAAATAGAATGAACAATTTTCTATGTTACTAGCGTTTGAAATTGTTGAGACAATTGGAAAATGTTTCTTTTTTTCAAAATACCGTATGTAACTACAATGATATACTAGCTTGTGTGAATGAATAAATATTACTCTAAAGTATCTTCTGATGCATGCATGTTTTGCCATTTTTAACTCCATGAAACCGACATTAAAAACTAGAACAAGCAACAATAGAAAAAGTGTCTCCTGTTTCCAAAAAGTATGCTCTTTTTTTTTTTTAAAGAATTCATTACTGTTACTATGGTAACAAAGTATGATATTCTTTTCTCTCTAAATAGTTAAAGTAGTAGTATTTTTCTCATTAACATAGATCATAACTAATATATCTAATAACAACAAAAAACAAACAAACAAACAAAAAGTGATCTACTCTCCAACAAAAACAAGACATAAATAAGTTTCTAAATCATAACTTCAACAAAAAAATAAAATATACTATAAAGAAATACGAGAAAGTGAGATAAGAAAAGTCAGCTTTTTTTCTGTCGCTAGGCAACAGAATAAAATGATGTTTATATATAAAGGAACACAGACAAAATGTCATCATATATCAAGACATAAGGCAGAGGTTACAATATCCAAATTTTGTCTGTCTGCAAGTGTTTATTTTAACTTGATCTAATTTGTAACTCAAACAAGGGAACTATCATTGTTTACTTTTGCAGATGAAAATACTTGCCAAAGGAAAAACAGACAGACCTTGTGACGGGTAATTTGCTAAAGTAAAGCAAAAAAAAATGTACAATTTAGCTAACATGATTTTCATTTTTTGTATATTGTATTGCTTCAAATAGTTGTTTCTAACCATTGGTTAGTAAACTTTCAAGCACACTGTTGTGGTTAAGTTTTAAGTGACACCAATACTTTAAACATCAAACAGTTACTTTCAAGCCTTTACTGCTGAAGAAAAACCTGTAGCAGCACACCTAAATAATTCAGGCACAAGCAGGAACCAGGAACTCACTTCCTCACATGGAAGAATCCAAATTCCCGGTCCAGATTTGAACCAACTGCAGTGAGAGTCCAGTAAAATTGAAAACAGTAACTATAACCATTAAGGTCTCACTTTCAAAGAATACTCTCATAAAATATCTTATCAAAGTAATAAATTAAAAGCCTACATCAAAACATGACTTTTTTGTAACATGATTTTGTTACAAAATATTTCATTGTTCTACAAAGAATTTACTTAGTGAACAATGAAACTTTTTTATCATTACAAATTTAATGTTATAAGAAAAACTTACAGAAATCTTAAAAAAAGTATTAAAAAAATCATATCCATTTGTTTTTTCTTTAAAAAAAAATTAGTCAAGCAGAAAAAATGGAAAATGAAAAAAACTAAAATGAGCCGTAAGAAAAAAATATTAGGAACATTCACACAAGTCACTCAAATATGAAAGCATGATTACGACAACAACTTTAACCCGTCTCAAAAGCACATATATACTCCATAGGTCCTTAATATATAATATGCATGAAGCAACATTCTGTGTACCTTTGGACCATTATCATAGTTATAAAATAATTTACTGCATGATCAAAAATTGACATGAAAAAACAAACGTGATTGGATGTCTTTGTTCAGGCAGCATTATACACATGTAATCAGTTCACTGCATATAATACTTCAGTTTTCATTAAGTTCAACACACCTTGCCCTGCCCACCTAGCACATGACCTTCGACCTTTTGACCTTGTAGGACCAGCCTAAGGTCAAACTATGCAGAATCAACAGATTTCACATCTTTCAGATTCTGATAATTTCCTCTCATCTTAACTCAGCAAAATTTACTGTCCATCTGTTATACAATCAGCTTCCTTTTTTTCCAAGTACGTACGTACATCTTTTGCCATTTTCTAAGAATCCTCATCCCAATCTACGAGGAATAAAACCAACTTCTCCAGTAAGAATGTTTGCTAAGTGGGCAACAGGTCAAAATTATCCTGTACTGTCACCAATGGGACATGTAACTCATCTATTTCTGGTATAACATTTCTATCACACATTGACAATTCTTTAAGCCGCCACTCCCATTCCAGTCTCTGGTATGCATACAATGAATCAGCTTCCTGCTTTTGCCTCAAAATTAACAGTTCCTGAAAAAAGATAGAAGAAAATAGTGTCTATTCATCTTATGATTTTCCAGCTTTATTGATGGAGGAAAAGCTTGTGTTTCCTTCAATTTAGTATAAAATCACTATAACTCCAAAATCTAGATGGATATTTACACCAACTAAAACTAGAAATGTGTCCTTAGGACATGGATGCGCAAACTTTTCAAATTATTTGTGAAAAGACACACATGGGGAACAGATGGAAAATCAAGGGCCAATCTAAACACCCCCCATATCCCTCAAGTAGTGGGCGCATAAGAAATAATGCGACTTTTATGCTACAATTACATATAACCATTAATCATGGTGCATGGCATCAAGAGGACTTTAGAAGTGAAAGAATTCTAAAGAAACAAACACACATGGCACTGAAGAATTTCATTTAAATTTCACAGTGCTGCCTTGTACATGTACTTTTATTCAATAGCAAGTAAATTGTGTTTTTCGTAAAGAAAATTGGAAAATAACGCAAGGATTTAAATATTCTTTTTTAACAGACTGTCGAGCATCCAGCGGAAATTAGTACTTGGGAAATTGGTCTGGTTTAAGAATATTGGGCAATTTCCAAGTCAAATTGTACAGTCTCCCTGATAATTCATGTCTCATTCTGTGAAATACAGTTTAGTGAAATCAATATTAAAGAAGACTGTAAAATTTTGGCTAGTCCAGCAACAATCTGTTGTTACCATAGCAACCATTTCATCTCAATATTTCAATGTCCTTGGAAATTCCTAATTTCAATGGGGGAAGATTTTCTTCAAATCTTAATCCTATTTTGCTTAGAATAATTTAAATTTGAAATGTCTTAAGTTTAACAAAATATTTTTCATCTTAATGAGACGGCTGGGAATTGAAGTTTTAACTCAGAGAGAGAGAGAGAGAGAGAGAAGAGAGAATAGAGAGAGAGAGAAAACAGGAAGTGTTCATATGTTTAGTTGGTTCAAAATAACATAAGCTCTTAAATTCAGTTCTAGTCTTAAGCCCAGGAAAAAAAATCAATTTAAATTATTTTACTTTGTAAACATTTCTATAGATCTGTCTTATTTTACTAGTGAACAGTTTTAAATCATAAGAAAATGTTAAAGCTGATGTTAATGTACGTATAAAAAGTTTTAGATTAAACTTTTTTTCAAAATTTTCTCAAAATATTCACTATGATTTTTACTAACTAAAGGACAATCAAGAATATACTAACACTCATACAACCATTTTTAAAACCAGAAAAACTTCCAGTGTGAAGAATAAACTGATAGTGAACAAATGATTTAATACTTGTTTATTTTTGGAACAATTTAATTGTCGGAAGTTGAAAGCTGTGAAATCAAAGTCTAAGAAAATATTATTGTTTTGATTTTTTTCACACAGATCTGAATTGACATCATGAACTCATGTTGACCAAATCGGACCAGACCATTTATAGTATAAACTGTTGACTGCTCTATATTAGCTATCTTACAATCACACAAATCAACAAAAAAGCATTTTCAAAAGTATTTAATTATTTTTTAGGTTGGGTTTTATGTCAAACCAACACAGTAGAGGTCATATGGCGACTTTCCACCTTTACTGGGGGAGGAGATCGGGTGCCCCTCTGTGCATTATTTCAGGCACAAATTGGCACCTGAGTATAACCATTGACACTTCGTAAGTTAACTGGATAGCTTAACAAATGAAAGAATCCTAAGGTCCATAGCCTAAGTCCATAGCAAGTTTCTAACCCTCAGCAGTATGGGGAAAGTGGTTTGATGTCAATGACCTTAACCACCCGGAAAAATATTTCAGCACATGAATGTTTTGCATAATACCCATGTGTAACATAATCATTGACTAGTTCTGCATATAAATTCACATGTGTAATACATGTATAATCGTTACCTAGTCTTGCATATTTTAAATGTGCAATACAGCAATGTTATTTTGGTGTTAAGAAGTCAGTATACAGCCTGCACAGTTTGTAGAACAAAACATTAAAACATGATCATTTATTATACTAACATTTTAAGTTGAGAGATATACTGAATCTAATGTTTACAACCATAAAACGTAGTATTACAATTAAACTGAACAAGACAATATTATAAGCTTGCAAGGGGCTTTTCCTTTGTTTAAAAAACAGTCTTTTGATCTTGTGTAAATAAAAAAAAATACAACGTATGCATTTACTTCATATGAAAACTCATGTGACATTCCATGATCCCATATAATTCAGACTTTGATGAATTAGAAAAAAAGTAAAGTAAAGAAATAAATATCAAACATACTTTGATTTTCTCATACTTGTCATCGACGTCTTGGATCCAGGACAGGAACTGTCGGCCATTATAACGTGTTCTGTTCTTCTTATCTTTTTCTTCCTGGGGAAAAAATAATAATTTTTTCTAAAATGTCACAGGTTATAATAAACATGAATGTGAAACTTTGTTGTTGGATCTGAAGACTCAAGTGTCAGGTAATTTGGTTGCTTATAAAACATAATACATTTCTATACAAAGCCAAGTTATGGAAAATGAAAATGTTTGACCACTGGTTAAACAGGTAATATTGTGCTATGACTGCTGATATTTGAATGAGTTCACAATATATGATTGCTTAAGTTATTACTTTTCAGTCAAATGAGGTATCTAGGAAAATATCCTTCATCTCACAGAAAAACAAGCTCCCTTAAACTTCAATTAATGTGCCCCTTTCAGCAGTTTTTATTGACCAATGAATATATTTCAATCTCATTTAAAACCAACTGCCTATAAATGTCTCTAATTTTACATAACCATTAATAACAGCTGCTGCAGATAGTTAAAGAAAAACAAAACTTCACAACTTGATGTGAACATGATTTAATCATCGTTCTTCTGATTGGTTGTAATTTCAAGATTTCCAAATGATAATACTCAAATGAAGAGGCTAAATCTTTAATTTATTCTTTAAAGAAAATTACCAAAAAAAACCCCCACAAACATCAACTAGGCTGTAACAGATTGGACTTTAATGATATTTATTTTTGATGCTGTATTTCCATTTTTAACCATGGAAAAATTAATCATAAACAAATGGGTTTCTTATAAAATTTATTTTCAAATCATTCACATACATGCATTCAAATTTTCTTTCAGCTACAGCTTAAAATTCAAAAAGGAGCCAGGAAAAGGGCAGAAGGGAAAATGAGTGTACACTACTGTTCAGTGAAAAGTAACATGTCTATTTGCTCAACATCATTTTTAAAGTTCAAAATTTAAGTTCAAAGCTAAAGTTGGCCAAATATGTACATAATGTTTGTTTGTTTTATGCCTTTTTCCAACAGTATTTCAGTCATATAGGCATATAGTTTCCTAACCACCGTTCCTGGAGAGTTACACCAGATGTACATAATGAAAACATCAAAACTTAATTGCTTTTTAATGAAAACATGGCTAAATTGTGCTGGCCAAAGATGTGCATAATGAAAACATCAAACTTTAAGCTTATTTTGCATTTAATGAAAAACATCAAGGCTGAAGTTGTGTTTAAATAATAATAATCAACAACATCAATTCTAATCCCATGCTTTATGAAAACACTGACGCCAACCCATTAATAAATGACAGCAAAACAAAGCAACAACAAGTATACAACAATATAGACAACAGAAGAAATCTGTCATACAGAAGTGGGTTACATATACTTCACTAAAATGATTGTTCTGAGATGATCAATATCTATATATCTTAACAGTATTTTAATTTCTGCACTTGCAGGCAGATGTTACCATAATTGAGTACTTAGGCTTTGGTCCAAACAACAATTGCCAAGTATTTCTCTTTAGTAAACAACTGAAAGTCATCAAATCTAGTTACAAATTGAAACAAAGTGCAATTTTGTGTTTATTATAGAAGACTGACATTTAATATCAATGCTCACGTTGGCAACAAGTCTTAATATCAAAGGAATGTTATTGAAATTATAAATGCTTACACAGGTAATCAATTTTAGAAACCATAACCAAAGTGAAAGAAAGAGGTAAAAGGTTGAAAATCAGTCTGTTTTGTTAGCTGTCACACCAACACTGTCAAATGGTGACACTCTAACTGAACCATTTTTTCAAGAAAATGTCAAGTGCCCCTTCGTGCATTATTTCAGGCATGAGTAGAACATAAGCTGGATAGCTTTTCATAAGACTCAGACGGGATTCAAATACACAGAAGGGAGGGGCAAGGGATTTGAAGTTTCTGACCTTCACCACTCGGCTATGGCGGCCCCTTTTAAAATCAGGTACTGGAGATTTTAAATTTCACATCAGTAGTTTACAAGCCAATTAAATATTTGGCATAACCCAGTCAATAATGAATTTTTCATTTTGTTTTTAGATTTCTCTTTCTTCTCTCTTGTAGTCTTTACTTTATATTGAATGGGAAAATGCACCAAAAAATGAGTAAATGACGAGTGAAACAAAAGCAAAACCAAAATACAACAAGTCATAGTAAGAAATCAAGCATTGAAAAAGAAAACAGAAGTGTAGGAAAAAGGCTCACAATACATACTAGACGAACCTGGTCCTCAGTAAAGTTATATATTTCTTCATCTCTCAGTATCGTGCACACGCTCAAAGGTGTGCCCTGATTGGCGATAGCACGTGCTGCGCGACCATGTTCCCGTAAAATCTCTTGTTCAATTGACAGAATCAACTTTTCCTGAAATGAAAAACAATTTATCAATTCCTTTCACACAAATTTCTATCTAGTGTAACTTGTCCTTGTTAAAGTCACCAGGACAATGTTAAACACACATGGTGACTTTCCAATTTCCTGGTTGGAGCCCCTCCAGGCATCACTTTATGCACATGTTAGCACCGGAGTAGAACCACCAATTTTCAGTAAGTTTCAAAGACCTTAACCACAAGGCCATGGAGACCTCATTGAAGCCACTTATTTTATATCTAGTTACATTTCCTACATTACAAAGGCTTGTGTAGAGATTTTTAAGTTACTTCATCTCTGTGAAAACTTGAACTATTCATGTAGCACAAGAATTCCTAATGCATAGACAACCCTTCTTTTTTAAGCCACTTATTTATTTTTGATAACTTATTTCTATATTTAGTGATATCAGTGATTTATAATTGAATTAGGGGTCATTTTAATATGTTCAACTTTACCGAGTCTTTGAGTGCCTTTCAACATTAAGTATAAGATATATCGAATCTACCACTATACTAATGATGTCACTGAAGTTATTTTTTCTTCAAAATTAATTCTCATATATAAGTTTCTTAACTATGATCCTGATTCTAATTAATTTCAGTATGTTTATAATGAAGCTGTAAGCCAACTCAAGGCAGGGTTTGTTTCATTGAATTATTTAATTTCTTACCCGTTCAATGAGGTGCTGTAGACGTAGTTTGTATCTGGCTTTCTCTTGTTGTACAAACTGATCTCTCATCTTATCTTTGACAGAGTTTGGAGGTGACAACTGAAATTATACAATTCATACAAATCATCAATAAATCAAAAATAAAACATTACACAAGTGAATAAAACCTGGCAATTTCTTGGTTGGACTATAAAAGGTCATATAGAACTAAAGTGCCAATTTGTGCATTATTTCACTATAATAGTCATAAAAGAAGAACTCGGTGCCACTTGGTGTATTATTTCAGAAATGAGCGAACTTTTGGTTAGAACCACTGACCTTCCATTTCTGGTTTCTTTCCTTCCATGAAATAATCTATAGACTTGTGTGATTTAAATAGCTTCCAGCCCTTATTCATGGAAGCTTCCATAGAATTAGGAAACATTATATGTTGAGCCATCTTTGATTTAATTAAAGCCATCAAATGTTGTCCCCCCACCCCCTTCAAACCGTCCCATTTTTTAAACATCTTTTTCTACAGAATTTACCTTTGAAAGTGAATTTCAAGACAATACAAGAGCGATCAGTGATCACATGTGTCGCCTCATGATGGCCAATTTCATGTTGGGACAAGTTTTGTGACAGACGGACAGACAGTGGTATAAGAGAAGTAGTCCGGACAAACTTTGAAAATAAATTTTTTTAAAGGGCCATAACTCTGACAAAAATCATTGAACCGGAAAATGCTGACAATATGCACAACTAGACTTGGTACTGATCATTCCTGTAAAGTTTGGATGAAATTGCACCAGTAGTTTATGAGGAGTAGTCCTGACAAGCTTTTGTGTATCTTGCAACACACAGAAAAACACACCTTTTTATCAAAGGGCCATAACTCGGCCAAAAACCATTCAACAGGAAAACCCGTGAAATATGCGCAAGGACTTGAGCTACAGATCAATCCTGTAAAGTTTCATTGAAATTGCATTAGTGGTATAAGAGAAGTAGTCTGGACAAACTTTAAAAATAACAAGAGCTGTCCGTAAGACAGCGCGCTCGACTTTTTTAGTGCTTGCCTATAATACAAAACATTGACAGTTAAGGGCCATAATTCAAATAAAATCTTTGACAGAATTACCTTCTCCTGGACATGTTTGGGAATCATGATTGTAAACAAGTATTCCAACTTTCAAATTAATATCTCAAACAGTTCAGTCAAAAAGTGGACTGGTACTAAAAACTTAACCAAGATTCTAAGTCGATAAAAGGCCTTAATTTTTAAAACAAATCCTTGACAGAGTTACCTTCTCTTGCGTACAGATGGGGGTAATGATGTGAAATAGCATTAAAAGTTTCAAAGCAATATCTCAAAGGGTTAAGGCAATAAGTGGATTTTACCCATATTCAATGTATTTTCTAAGTCAAAAAGGGGCATAATTCTGTCAAAAACCTTGACAGAGTTATGTCCTCTTGTCTGTTGATGAAGGTCGTGATGGTAAACAAGTATGGTCAGTTTCAAAGCAATACCTCCAATGGTTTTGAAATAAAGTGAGGTGGTACAAAAAACTTAACCAAGCTCAATACACTTTCTAAGTCAAAAAAGGGCCATAATTCTGTCAAAAACCTTGACAGAGTTATGTACTCTTGTCTGTAGATGGAGGTTATGATGGTGAACAAGTATGGTAAGTTTCAAAGCCATACTTGTAATACTTCTGAAATAAAGTGGGGTGGTACGAAAAACTTAACCAAGGTGTGACGCCAACGCCGACGCCGACGCCGGGGCGAGTAGGATAGCTCCCCTTTTCATAGAAAAGTCGAGCTAAAAATTATTAAAGGGCCATAACTCTGACAAAAATCATTGAACCGGAAAATGCTGACAATATGCACAACTAGACTTGGTACTGATCATTCCTGTAAAGTTTGGATGAAATTGCACCAGTAGTTTATGAGGAGTAGTCCGGACAAGTTTTGTGATGGACGGACAGACAGGCGGACGACGGAGAAGTGATCCCTATATGTCGCCACTACTCCGTAGAGGTAACACAAAAAGCTACTAGTTCTCCCATTATAAACTATCTTTTTTTTTTTTCATTCTTGTGACGCTATGGTAAAAACACCTTGCCATAACAATTCTCTCAACAGGTTTCTTTGTTTCTTTCCCAATGACTTACATTATAACTTGTCAATTCTTATCTATTCCTCAAGGTTGATCAATGCATTTTATTCAGATTAGTAAATCATAAATCACAACTTAGATGAATACACTCCTATAACATTATCAACCAAGGGGAACAACTCTGTCAGCCTTACAAAAACCTTACCACTTGCCCTTGAACTGCTTTGTTAGCAAGGTTATAACAACAAATAATTAGTCATTCATTGAGGAAACAAACCAACCAATAGAAAACCGATTTCAAGCCTTATCAGATAGAAACCCACGTTTAAAAATAACTACTTTGCAATACATATATATTCACATACTTGAGCTACCATTTTATTGAACCAAAAGTACACACCTTAAATTCTTTACTTCACTTAAAAGTGCATAACAAAAACGTGTATAAACCATAAACCAGTCTTAACCACAAGCCAAATACAGATTATATATCTTTCTCCTAAATCAAGACATATCAAGCAATATATACTGTTATAAATCGATTATAACAGAGTCATGTTATGTTCATTATAATAAAGATCCTTTTATCTTTGGAAGGTCAGGACGACTAAAACATGAACATGGTAGTTAGTAGGTCAGTATAATGCAATCTAGTCTGTACATGAAAACCAGTCTTGTTACCTTCACCTAATCTACACTTCTGTACATCATTATTAATGGAAATTTAATTTGTCTCAGTGTGCTCTGAAACTTTTTGAAAACTTTTCCAAGTGATTTTCTATTATGGTGGTTTGACAAAAGAAGCCCTTAATACCCAGGAAGTATGTCTGCTTCTAGGGCTTATAAAAAGCACTGTTGTCTCCAGCTTTTTAAAACCTAAGCAGCCATAAGACACCACATCTATGCTTTACCACTGTGGTTACAGCACAGGCACTAAGGGTGCAGTAACACCAAATGCATATAATAAAATACACATACATAGAACCACAGCATGGGAGGTGCACTACAGGCAAAGGCATAGTTACTGTAAACTTGTACAAGTAACCAGCATGGATGACAGAATATAACAGATTAATAAGAGGGCCAGATTTATAGTTTCATGTACTAAATATATCAATAACACTTAAAATCTTTCCCCAAAGGGGGGGGGGGGACAGATACTAACCCCAAAGAAAAAATTCTACTGGAGGGACTGATACTTGATGAAGCAGTTCAAAAGTTAGCAAGTTAAGCTTGTCACCATGTATATAATATTATGTACAGTCAGAGCACAGAAAGGGTCACAAAGTAATGATGTTTTCCTCTCATTGACCTTCAACTTGGTTTTCAATGTTTTAAACATATATATCTTACATGTTGATATAAAGTTTAACATTAACAATATGCATGCCATTTTGTATCAGCACATAATGAAATATATTGTGTATATAAATCAGAAATGAAAATGTGTATAATGATTTATTACTGTCCTGTAACATGACCTAGTGGTGTATAAATGTGGTGTATAAATGTAGTTCACAACCTCGGCTATTCATTCTGTATACAAAGCATATATGTTACAGTGGACTGGAGTTGAAATTAAGGTTGAAATCACATAAATCTCAAAATAATCCATCTTCTTACAAGATATATAGGTGTAGAAATTATTGGCTGAGTTATCTATTTAATTGATATTGAAAACACCTGCTGTTTGTCAGCATTGTCCTATACAAAGGGATAGGTATCTACAATGTCAGCAAATGACAATAACAACTTATTTATAGCTCAGTGTGATGAAATCTTTTACTGTTTACAAAAGTACATAGCTAACAGTATTTCACAATGGGGATTGAACCACTAAATAACTAACAATCCCTCTGGAATGGACCATGAGTTATCTTGGTAAAAACAGAATCTTCCTGTTGGTTTAGTACAGGATGTTAGTAAGCCTGGGTTGATTGTTAAACCTAGCTAAGTAACACTTGTAAGCCTAGAAACACTGAATGTCTAGGGAGACCTTTAAAGTTAGGGAGACTTGTAAGCATAGGTTGACTGTTATGTCTAGGGAGTCCTTTAAGGTTAGAGACTTGTAAGCCTAGGATGACTGTTATGTCTAGGGTGTCCTTTAAGGTTAGAGACTTGTAAGCCTAGGATGACTGTTATGTCTAGGGAGTCCTTAAAGGTTAGAGAGACTTGTAAACCTAGGATGACTGTTATGTCTAGGGAGTCCTTTAAGGTTAGAGATTTGTAAGCCTAGGATGACTGTTATGTCTAGGGAGACCTTTAAAGTTAGGGAGACTTGTAAGCATAGGTTGACTGTTATGTCTAGGGAGTCCTTTAAGGTTAGAGACTTGTAAGCCTAGGATGACTGTTATGTCTAGGGAGTCCTTTAAGGTTAGAGACTTGTAAGCCTAGGTTGACTGTTATGTCTAGGGAGTCCTTAAAGGTTAGAGACTTGTAAGCCTAGGTTGACTGTTATGTCTAGGGAGTCCTTTAAGGTTAAGAAGACTTGTAAGCCTAGGATGACTTTATGTTTATCCTTTTAGGTTAGGGAGACTTGTAAGCATAGGATGACTTTATGTCTAGGGAGTCCTTAAAGGTTAGAGACTTGTAAGCGTAGGATGACTGTTATGTCTAGGGAGTCATTTAAGGTTAGGGAGACTTGTAAACCTAGGATGAATACAAAGTCTAGGGAGTCCTTTAAGGTAAAAAAGACTTTAAGCCTAGGCTAAACACAAAGTCTAGGGAGTCCTTAAAGGTTAGAGAGACTTGTAAGCCTAGGATGACTGTTATGTCTAAGGAGTCCTTTAAGGTTAGGAAAACTTGTAAGCCTTGGATGACTGCAATATCTAGAGAGTCCTTTCAGGTTACGAAGACTTGTAAGCCTAGGATGACTGTTATGTCTAGGGAGTCCTTTAAGGTTAGGAAAACTTGTAAGCCTTGGATGACTGCAATATCTAGAGAGTCCTTTCAGGTTACGAAGACTTGTAAGCCTAGGATGACTGTTATGTCTTGGGAGTCCTTTAAGGTTAGGAAAACTTGTAAGCCTTGGATGTTTGCAATGTCTAGGGAGTCCTTTAAGGTTAGGGAGACTTGCAAGCCTAGGGAGTCCTTTAAGGTTAGGGAGACTTGTAAGCCTAGGATGACTACAAAGTCTAGGGAGACCCGAGTAAAACCAATGATGTTCCTTAAACTAGATTGCTTCCTCACAGAAAAGAATCCAAAGACCCATGTGGGATTTAAACCTACAGTGATGAGGGGCAAGTGGTTAATACAGAATCCCAGGACACTATTAATATGACTAGTCTTAAATGACAACAAAACTGTCACACAAACTGTAGCTAATCTTAAAACAAAGACAATGTTTACCTATCCATGTATGTAAGTATATACACAGACAACCAAAAAGAAAGATGTAAATTAGGAAAGAAATTCTGCTTTTCCCCAGCAATTTTTTTGCATTTTCGTTTGTGTATTCAGTATTGTAAATTTCAGCAATGTATAGAGGAGTAAAATTGATATGTCATTAAAATTCTGTAGTTTTTACATTAGAGCCTAAGGCAACATTCTTGTTGACAATGTAAATGGACTTGGTAATAATATGACTAAATGATCTAGTTAATGCATGCATGTATACAATAGATGTAGATAGATAGGTATGGTTTGTATTTCTATACAGATATACCAGTGTTTTACCATTATATGTACCAAACAAACAGCAGCTGTTGCCCCAGCATAAACATAGAGCTTTTCATATGAGTAATCTGCTTAGAGAAAAGCTGTACATATTTTCAGTGACCTTTCTAATCCTTAATTTGTTCAGATGTTCACACAATAAAAAGTCAGCAGGAGGAAAAAAAACAACATACGAAACTGATCGAAACCCACATATAAAGTCCATTTTTTAAAGGAAAACTTCCAGATTGGAAGGTAAAATTTCACTTCAATCTATACATAAATTGGATTATCATCAACAATTGGCAGTGAGTGGCTCAAAATCATCAAAGCCAAGCAATACAACTTATCACTCTAATCAGGGGTTTTAGTATAAGCAAAGTTGGTATACTGAGGAAAATTGTATAAATTTGTGCAAAACTTGGAAAGCTGACATTGAGTACATGAGGTCTTTGGAGAAAGGACCTTAATATGGCATATCATAATATCATATGGTATAATGTTAATGTTGGACACTCAAACTTACTGTTGGAACTGAGAGAGTGCTGGTGGTGTTGCCCTGAAGGACGTAGTTACATGTATTTAACAGATAGTCCTTGAAACCCTGAGGAGTCTTCGGACAAATACTCAGCATGTCCAGGTAGCCACAACGTCGACTAGCAATCTGAAATATAAATTACAAGAGTAATTATATCAACATGTATAACTTACATTATATAAAATAACCTGTTTATTTTTGTTGCATTACAGTATATAATTGACAAAACACTTTGGAATTTTGCAAAGATAGTGAGAGAATGAGCTAGGGTGATGTATCAAGTTAGACTTTGAAAAAATGCTTTTCTCTGTCCATTTGGTATTTGTCAATGCCTAATTTCTCTCAACAACATTACTGTTCTTTTCTTCCTTTTACATGATTTCAAGTTAAACCAACGTAATTTTCATGAAGAAGGAAATGCCCGACTCAACTCCCAATACTACATTTAAGTGTATATACATAGTTTAAGCACAAGCAATAAAATTATAGGTCAGATTGATAGCTTCTCTCATATATTTTTGTTTGCTTTGTTGGATTTTAAGACACACAGACACAGTACAGTTCATACAGTGACTTTCCAGCTCTACTGGTGGAGGAAGACCTCAATGCCCTTTTATGATTGTTTCAGACACCTGCGGGCACCTGAGTAGAACCAGGCACAGACCATCCTTAGGTAACACAGCTGAATAGCATCCTTTATATGAAAGAATCCACAGTCCCCACAGGGGTGAGGAGCGAGTGATTTATAGTCGATAATTCTAACCAATCAGCCAGAGGCCCCTTACTTAATAATTAAATGACCCAAACAGGAGTTAAACTGAACCCATACCAGTTAAGGTCACATGATTTAGAAGACTTTAAAACTTCCACTCAATATGTATAGACAGGCACAACTTACAGACTTAAGTAAGGTGGCAAAATGTTAAAAGGAAAAAGGCATTCAAATTTATCATTCCTTACACTATTACAGAAAACATTTTGGCTTCGTATTACATTGATTTTAGTCTTGTAAACTATAGGCCTTACTTTACAGACAAACAAATGACTAGGATCATAGTGCCACAGTTCTTAACATTAATATTTCATAAAGTAATTGGTATCCTTTGATAAAGTGGGAGAAAAAGAAATTCTGAAAATATATTCACATTTCACACTTATATTTTCTTTGGCCACTGAATTTTTTATGATATACTGGGTTTCAAAATGAACACTTTTGTATGATAGGAATATTCTATACATTTTAAGATGATTTGATGACCTATTTTTATCATTAACAGTGGGTAACCAAAGAAATTAACCTTTTATACATATCTATAGTTATAAGTTTAACCAAAAAGAAAGAAAGAAAAAAAAATGACCTAAAAGAACTAATAAGTGAACTTTTTAAACTTCAAATAAGAAACTTGGTGACATTTATTACTGACAGGGCAGTTAAAACATAAACCAAATAGTGATTTCAAGATTAAATTAAAAGTGAAAAGTGACTTGGTCATAACTCAATGAGTTTAAAAATATGACAATGTTGTGGTACAAAGTATATACATGTACATAAGAGGTTATAAATTTGGCTTAAGACTGTGTGAAATTTTAAATAAAAGATTAGCGAGGTATAAATGTAGAAATTCTTAAGAAGATGCTTTTATAAAACACAGTCATCCTAGTGCACCACTGTCCCATCCATTAACAAATTAATACAGTAAATAATCATGATGAAATATCCTAAATTTGGAAAATTGACCCTAAAGGTCAGAAATATTTTGAAATTGAGGTCAAGAACATTTTGAGGTTAAGGTCAAATTTAAAGCTATTACCCAGAGATCAGTTAGGTAACAGAATAAAGTCAAGATTTAAGATTCCAAAATGGCCATGTTAGGGCCAAGCTTTAGAATGTACATAAATGAGCATCAGCAAAATCATTATGCACCCATTATACCTACTGATTAATATTCGAGCCATAAAAAGCAAGTTAGAATTTTACATGCTTAACTTCCCTTACAAATAATTCAGAACAGGACAAAAACACTGTCTGAACAATGTTGTTTGGTAATGAACCAACAAGAAGTGTGAGAAATATTTCAGTGATTAAATAAACCGAGGAATGATTGATCAGAGGGTGAAAACAGCAGCTGAATCTACTGACAACTTCTGTATAGATGCTCCATAAATGCTATAGGGCAAAACATTGGAACTTTTATAACATCAATATGTCTCTCACACAGTCATAGAAAATACAGGAGGAAAATAACAAAACTACACCAGTCAGCTTAGTATAGAAAATTGCAAATATTTGAAGCCACCTGCTTTGCTAGATAATTAAGAGTAGGATGTTAGTTCCTACATGTTTCCTGACAGGAATTTATACAAGAAAACAACTTCAAAACAAGTATTTTGTCCTCCACTAATGGGTCATATGGTAATGCTGACTTTCACTAACAATTGTTGAGAAGTTGCCAATTACTTGTAAAGAACAGATTGGCTGGAAACTGCAAGAACCGAATAATGTCCAACCAGGGGGATTTAAAGCTATTCTTGGAAAAGGCACTGACTTAAATTGAGAAACAAGAGGGCCATGATGGCCCTGAGGTCGCTCACCTGTATATAGGCCCCCCCCCTCCCCTCCCCAACGTTGCAGGGCCAATTTAACCCAAGGGCTTTTATTTGCACAAACTTGGTAGACACCCATAAGAAGATGTTTCATGCTAAACATCTAAGCTCTAGCTCATTGGGCTTTTTAAAAGAAGATTTTTTTTAAGTTTTTACTATACACTTATAGTTAAAAACAATGACACCCCTAAGGCCGGGCCAGTTTTGACCCCAGGGCTTTTATCTAAACAAACTTTGTAGACACTTACTAGAAGATGTTTCATGCTTAATATCTAAACTCTAGCCATTTGGGTTTTTTCAAAGAAGATTTTAAGTTTTTGCTATACACATATAAAGAAAATCAATGACCCTCGGGGCGCAGGTCTTTTATTTGAACAAACTTTGTAGACACTCACTAAAAGATGTTTCATGCTTAATATCTTAACTCTAGCTATTTGGGTTTTTTCAAAGAAGATTTTTTAAGTTTTTGCTATACATATATAAGGAAAATCAATGACCCCCGGGGCTGTGCCAATTTTGACCCCAGGGCTTTTATTTGAACAAACTTGGTAGACACCTATTAGAACATGTTTGATGCTAAATATCTTAGCCATAGCTCTTTGAGTTCTTTAAAAGAAGATTTTTTAAGTTTTTACTATATGCATATAGGGAAAATCAATGACCCCCCGGGGCGGGGCCAATTTTGACCCCAGGGCTTTTATTTCAACAAACTTGGTAGACACTTATTAGAACTTGTTTCATGCTAAATATCTTAGCTCTAACTCTTTTGGTTCTTTAAAAGAAGATTTTTTAAGTTTTTACTATATGCATATAGGGAAAATCAATGACCCCCTGGGGCGGGGCCAATTTTGACCCCAGGGCTTTTATTTGAACAAACTTGGTAGACACCCATTAGAACATGTTTCATGCTAAATATCTTAGCTCTAGCTCTTTGGGTTCTTTAAAAGAAGATTTCTTAAGTTTTTACTATATGCATATAGGGAAAATCAATGACCCCCCGGGGCGGGGCCAATTTTGACCCCAGGGCTTTTATTTGAACAAACTTGGTAGACACTCACTAGAAGATGTTTCATGCCAAATATCTAAGCTCTAGCTCTTATGGTTTTTTAAAAGAAGATATTTAAAGTTTTTTCTTTCGGTTGCCATGGCAACCAGAGTTCTGCATGGAATTAAATTCTTTGAACAATTTTTAAAGGTGACCACCAAAGGAACATTCCTGTGAAGTTTGGATGAAATTGGCTTAGTGGTTTATGAGGAGATGTCATTTAAAGTAAAAGTTTACGGACGGACGCCGGACGGACGGACGCCGGACGAAAAGCGATCACAAAAGCTCACCCTGTCACTTTGTGACAGGTGAGCTAAAAAACTATGTAGGATTTTTCAGAAATTTGAGAAATCCTCAAATGAATTTGAAAGAATATGTTGAAACACTACCTTATAAAGACTTTTAAGTTCTATTTAAGAGTACAATTATATAATGGCTACCACATTGTACATTATACTATATTTGAATTTCATTAAGTCATAGACTACTGGGCAGTTTTAACTGAGCATTTATGACCATATATCTTGCCATTGTTTTTAAATGGTATTAAATATGTTTGGTTCACTGCATTGAATGTGAAAGTAGAAATAAACATTCTAAATATATGCAAGGAAGTTAGTTATACATAGTTGACATTCTTCCATCAACACAAACTTAACAGCTAATTATAAACTTGGAAAAACATAGTCAGAAATTACTAATCGTGGAAAACTGAACTGGCTATATTCAGTACATACAATAAATGAACATAACTCTTAATAAGGGAAGTTTCAGATAAAAAATCAGCACAAAATTTCCCTTTAAACTAATTATTAACAAGCTTCATTCTGAGCAAATCAATGGTTGTTTTGATATATGCCCTCTCAGGTGGTCAATTCTTGGAATTCTAAGGGAATGATGAATGGAAACTTGAGCCAGAAAAAAAAAAACGAACAAAAAAACCAGCAAAAACCAACAACAAAACAGCCACTATTGTCATCATTAGGGGTGTTCAAAGTTCATACACCTTTTTTTTTTATAAAGAAGTGAGGAATAAGGTGAGGAGTATCTGTGAATTAACAACTGGCTAACACTTTTTTTTTCTCCTGACAGATTTTTCCCCCCTCTGTAAATCATGGCAGTATATATAAAAGATACATTGGTGCATCTGGAATCAATAAATTCTCTTTACTAACTGTTTGCCCTGTCATTCCCTGATGCAAGTATTGATCCACCTTAGTAATACATACAATCCCGATTTCTATAACAGGAAGTGTGTTTTTTTTCTTCTTGTAAATAAAGATATTTAAAAAGCTAAGGCAGCATAAACACCACACCTAAATGAAGCCGCAGCTTTCGAATGGCCAGGGAGGATTTCATGGAATATAGTGAGACTATTGTGGATTTAAATGACTTTGTTTGTCCCTTTAAAATGCATTTTTAAGCATGAATTGTTGTTTTTGTGACCATGTAATATGATCATTGGCCAATTCGAAAACATGAAAATTAGATAGAATCACATGCTGGATAATTTTATTGATGTCCAAGGTCGCCATTGTTTTTTGGGTAAACACTTTGCCTTTTAAACAGCGAATGCTCGTGAAAAAACAAGTAATTTTACGGGGGGTACAAACTTTCCAAGCAATAGCAAAAAATCTACAAGGCCAAGCACCTATTTCTTTGTGATATTTTTGTTTAATGCCATAAGGGAGTTGCTAAAAAGCAGTGACAGAGTTTTTGTAGACCGCGTATATTTGCAGGTATTTTTTTGCCGGAGGGATGAAAAAATGTTGTTTTGGGTCTCGGACCACTATAGATTTTTGGCTTTTACGGAATGAATTGGAATTTTTTTTAACTGCCTGACTGTTGAACATGGGATGATTTCATTACAGATTTTGCAATGGTATGACATATATGTTCTTAACAAAATGTGTTTTTTCTTTTTTTCCAGGGGTGTGTAGTTTGGGATCAGATTTTATCAGACATATTGCCTTGTAGGAAACATTGACGGCAGAAACTTGAAATTTAGTGTGGAGTGCTACTTAAGGTAAAATGAAATTTTTCAATGCTTGTTTTTTTCTTATTAAACTTTGTGTAAATACTCCTAGAATACACACTGACTACAATGATGATGAAATTTCATAATAATATTAAACACAGTGTCAGAAAGTCAGCTTTAAAAAGGGGAGGTAACTCCAAATCCAGAAATTCTTTGTGAAATGTATTAAAGGTGCTGTGTCCCTGCTGTGTTGAATTACAGCCCTACTTATTCTAGGCGAATACAGCTTTAGAAGAATGCTATTATTTTCACTAATATAGAGCTATGGAAAGGTTAAATTATAGATGTTGTTTTTCCCCCCCCTGCTTTTTGTGACTTTAGATTTTTGGAAAAAGGCATGCACTTTTAATAAATATTTCAGCTGTATGTGTGAAACATGGCCCATCCGAAGTGTTTCGAGTGATGCCATAAATCATATTGTATGGAGGGTAAAATTTTTTGCTGGAACATCACTTTTTAAGGGCAAGTGGGATATATAATCTAGGTTTTCTGGTGAGATTGTGACCAATTATTTAAAGCTGAGCGAGCAAGCATCGACTAGTCCGTAAATTTTGGTTTTTTGCACTGTCACACTTGGTGAATTTCGATTCCCTAGGAGACCCCACATTGTTTGATGTCTATAATGCTGTGACAGGCCCCTGACAAATGCTTTGTCTCTTTGGGTTTTTTTTGACTTAAACATAAACCTATATGAAACATTTGTGCATGCCAAATAGATTTTCTAACTGTGTAGGAACTCGAAAAAAATAGCATATATTAGTGTCTGGGCAGGGAACCATAATAAATGATATATTTTGTGCCCCCCCCCCCCACAGTGTTTCACATGAAGCCAGTTTTATTTTCTTAAACTGGTATTGGCAATTTGTTGAATATTTCTTCCCATATCATATGACATAAGGAAATAATATTTGTGCAAATTTAGTTGTATAGATAGTATGGAACCCATTTTTTTTCCATACAACTCTTACCAAATTGGGCAATTCTTTTTCTTTCTTCTTCAAATCAATGCTACTAAAACAGCGTTGCGAGGGCCCTTTGAAAAAAGGGTAAACGGTAATAGTTTTCATCTAAAGCACATATAACAGAAAAAAGCAAACAATTCCTAGCAAATTAAATCATTTTTAATTTCTTGAAATATGCATAAATTTACAGAAAAAAGTCTGTATAAAGTTTCAGCAAATCAATTGTTAAAGTGCCGTCGCCTTAAAGGCCCAAAGCAACAAACCACACTAAAATGAAGCCGCAGCCTTTCGAATGGCCAGGGAGGAATTTCAATGGATTATTAGTGACTTGTTATTGTTGGATTTAAAATGCACTTGGTTGTCCTTTAAAATGCATTTTTTAGCCATGAAATTTTGTTTTTTGTGACCAATGTTAATAGATCATCTGGCAAATTCCGAAAACATTGATTAGAAAAATCAAACATTGCTGATTAAATTATTGAAAAATGTCCAAGGTTCGCCAATTGTTTGTAAACATTGCTTTTTAAAAAAACAGCAATGCTCGGTGAACACACAACCAAGTATTTTTACCAAGGGGGGTACAAAACTTTCAAGCAATAGCAAAAAATCTTGAACAAAGGCCAAGCAAAACGCCTATTTTTTCTTTGTGAATATTTGCATGCATAGGAGTTTTGCTAAAGCAGTCGACAGGAGTTTTCTTTTGTATTAGACGTATATTTGCAAGGTATTTTTTTTTGCCGGAGGGATGAATAATGGTTGTTTTGGGTCTCGGACCAACACTTATAGATTTTTGGCTTTTTTTAACGAATGAATTGGAAAAATTTTTTTAACTTGCGCTGACTGTTTGAACACTGGGATTGTTTTCATTACAGATTTGCAAATGGTATGGCAAAAACATATATGTTTCCCTTAACAAAAAATGTGTTTTTTTTTCTTTTTTCCCAGGGTGTGTAAGTTTTTGGGAAATCCAGAATTTATCAGACTCAATAATTGAAATTGTAGACATTTGACAGGCAAAAGAACTTGCCAAAATTTTAGTGTGGAAGTGCTACCGTAAAGCCAATCCTTTCCGAACAGAAAAAGGAAGTATAAAAAAAGACTTCCAATCTCAGTGTGTGTACTTGCAGTGATTCAATATTTCCCAGAAATATGAATAGGCTAAAACCTTTAAAAATAAAAATGAAGCTAAAACCAACATTTACATGTGAACACCTCATGATCCTTAAAGGTTGACCTTGTATTTAAGCCACAAAATGTTTTGGTGAGTCAAAAAGCCTTAGACTTAAGTCTTTCAAAGACCCCATTGCATCTTTAGGACATCGGAAAAAATAGTTTTGCAGCCTGTCATGGCTTGCGCTCATAGTAGCCAAGAAATTGGGGCACTTGCCTCTTTTAATGTTACTGTGAAATTGTTTCCTTGAAATGGTGCCATGTCACACCCGCCAAATTTTCCTTTAATCTGAATGACTATAAGTACTAAGAAGATTATAGTACTTAGATCAAAAACCTTTTCAATATTATAACTAATATAAAAAATAAATTTGGGCAATTCATACCCATTAAGGTACTTGTGAACCAGAAATTTTATTTACACAAATTGAATCAAAAAGTAGACAAAAACCTACCTTTTTTCTCAAACTGATACATATTTCGAAAGATTTGGCATGCTGTTTTTCCTGTCCACAAAAATTTAGATGTTTATTTTGGTTACAGGGACTGTTCTTTTCCCTTCCCTGAAGGTTAACTGGTTTTCCGTACTTTTCTTTGTTCTATTCCCTAAATTTTTCCTCCCCGTTTTCCCCCTTTCCCCGCCCTCTGGATGTTACACACATATTCCCATCCCTCTTCCTTTTGGTTCTGTTTCTTAATAGTTTGCTGCCACTTCCGTAACGCTGCGGCAAATCATCTTTTGAAAAGACAATGTGACTGTCTGAATTAACGCTACAACAGCAAACATATACGGCCCTTTAGTTTAATAAAATCTCAGTTTAAAAATTTTTCATATATATATATTTCTTCCGCGATCACCAGCAAGGATTCACAAGAAAGGGAAGGAAATTTGTTAATTCAACGCCTTTTGTAGATATTTTGAAATTTGTGGGGTGTTTCAAGGTGTTACTAAGTTTTTTTGTTTCATAAAACATGTTACAAACCTTTTAGGGACAGTGGCTTTTTTTTAAAAACAATAAGAAGAAGAATATATATGGGGCTTCTTGTGTATGAGCATAGAACTTTTGTTTGTTTTGTGAAGTTTCTCATTTTTTCACCATAAAAAAATGACAGACCTTGTTCCAGCTTAGGCAAATTTTGGACTCAGTCAACTTGTCTTGAAATTGACAATAATATGATACATATTCCTTGGGTCCAATTCTTTTTAGGACTTTTACAGTTTCACTGTTCCATAAACTAAAATAAAGTCATATTTTCGGAACTTTGTTGATATCCTCTTTCTTTAAACAGGAACATTTTAGGAAAATCTACGGTAAAAATGCATTGCATAATAAGATTTATTGATTATTAACTTTTTGTCACATGATTTTTTATTCAAACTGTTACGTAAAAATCAACAATTTACAAAACTGTGAACCCTTAATTACTGGTTTTAAATACAAAAAAAAACAATTCTTTATTTCAAGCCCTAAAAAACATTATGTAACAGTTCTGCATGAAAAAATAATTGGGCAATAATAATAAAACATTGACCATGTATAATGAATTTTATGATTAAGTTGCAAAATTGAAAATTTCAAAAATAAAACAAATGTTACAGGTAAAAACCAGATTTTGAATAAAGGCCCCAATCTAAAGGGAAAAACCATACAATATGCCCTTTTTACAAAGACAAGACTAGTGGGTCTTTAATATTTCTGGAGAATAACTCTGTTTGTTATCTTTTATCAATTGATGGGGTCTTTTGTGTCCTTTGTCAAGATTGGATGGTCCCTTTATTCAGAAGGTGATCATTAACACACGGGTTTGCCCCTGGTATGATCAAGATTTTTCCTCACTTTGCCTAAGTCCAAAAATATTCCCAGATTTTGTCTCCTGTGGGTCGTGTATGAAAACATGCTGTGAGAGACAGATTTGATAATATGCTTACATTATGAGGGCAATAATGCCTTCTGTTTTTCTAAGTTAAACAGACATAAAGAATTTTGGTCCATGGTAGCATTTTCATCTGAAAAAACAGTAATGTAAAATCTTGTTGTTTTTTATATACATGTAATATAAATATATTGTAACCGTTGAACTCGGCAGTTTATAACATACAATTTTATCAGTAATCCTGAAACATTTTGAAATATGTCTGAAGCTTTCAACTTCTGTATGTCTGAAATGGTTAAGTTTTTTTTTTATAAAGTTTATATAAATAAGCAGTTTAAAGCTTTTATCTAGGAATCTAACTTTCTATCAAAGACAGTACTTTATTCAAAATGAAAAAACCTTCAATTTCCTGTTAACAAATTTTACGAGTTAAACTTAAACAAATCAAAATTTAATTATTCAATGTTTATTAATTAATCATGAATTCAGATTTCAGCAAGCCTGCTTATATATAATAATCTATAGGTCTAACCCTACTTATTCTGATGAATTTCTTAAATTGACTTGTCCATTTCCCATTTTTGAAACTATTCGTTATCATTTTTGAGGATATCATCATTATTATGGCTGTGCAGGATGGCCTGGCTCTATACTGGTGGCAAAGTCTAATCATTTTCATTCCCAGACAGGTAAGGGCTAAATACTGCTAAATTTCTAAATTTCATATTCAATATATGAACTCTGGTCTAAGAAACTGACATAGTTTTCTGGCTGTTGATCTGTTTTTTTGTCAATTTTAACACAGTTTTGGTCGCATCTCTATGGTCCGTCTACATAATAAGCTTTCATGGTAAACAACCAGTAATTACAATATCAGTTTTTTCACTCAAAAGTGACCAACTACTAATCCCACATGATTTCTGACTCAGTGGCAAGAGACAAATGACCAGTAGACTCAGTGCTCGAGATCACACAGAAATTTCCTCTTGCCCAGATTAGTGACCCCTGGATCACAACTGATAAAAGTGTTAGCACTTTGTCAGGGTCTATCTCTGGTTTGAACATAAACATTGTATCACCAATATGTAGAATCAGGTGGCAAAATCAACTGTCCATATATTGCAGGTTGTCCCACAGCTTATATGGACAAGTGAAAATTTTCAAGAATTTATAATTATGAATATCATACAAACAAGTAAAAAGTATGTTTCAGATAAAACAAGCAAAAGTTAGTCAAAATCAGATTTTGCAAGCCCTGTTATAATATAGTAGTTACTTGTTGCTGGAGATAATCATGTAGTATTGGTTCAAATACCCGTATGGGAAATGCCCCATATATAATGCTACAAACACATGCTAAACCCTAAAATAAATGTTTTGAAAAAAACCCTTAAGGCAATAATTTTTCACATGTTAACATTGAATATCAATATTTTTACACTGTGTGTGCTTGCTGGCTACCTCAGGGCGGTCTGCTCATCACTGTGGTAAAGATACACTAACATTGTTACCACTGCATTGCAGAAAATTAAAAAAAAAAGGCTACCACTTACACATATAAATTTTTACACTGAAACACTAAAGGTTAAATTTCTTGATTTAAATCATCTAGAAAAATCTGTTCAACAGAGCAATATGGCCAGGGCTATATAAAACATTAAGATCTTCATCTATCTAACCTACTTTATAATGCATAGAGAAGTTTATGGGAATGTGACCTTACAGTGAACAGTTCAGATAATAATATAAACCCTTCACTACACATTTCAAGATATCCTCTTATATGTATGACCTAAATTACTTCTAGTTAACTTGAGATACTTACAAAAAAACAGCTCCTACTTTATGATCTTATCATAAGCATTTCCCTTTACATAACAGGGAGTTATTTATAAAACTGGTATTATGCGCTGTCATGGCATAGAATTTCAATCAAATTTGCATAGATTGAATTAAATATTTTCATAGTCAGTATTTTGTGAGGTATTTCATGGTTATGTCTTATTATTGTTTACCATGCTTATATGGCTGGACTGTAGCCAATTTCATTAAAAATACATAACCATTGATTTTTTACAATAAAAGACTTGTATATATATGTTTATGTTGACCTTCAGAGATGACCTTGAAGTACAAGTACATAGTTACTTGTATTTTTCCATGTTTTTCTACATGTGGCTTTATGTCAGGTAACATATTAACAGCAATTTAGAAATGTGATGACATTTGCTTTTTTAACAAAGACAAGAATAAGTGTAATGTTAATAAGTCTAAATAAAGCAGTACTTCTCGATTCATATAAAAATACAATTTTTTTTTATCCATTTAAGCTTAATGTGAAAAGGTTTTCTAGTTTATTAAATCAACTGTTGAGTCTGCTGTCTGGAACTAACCTGGCCTTGAGGTTTCAAAACTTTTCAGTTCAATCTCAAATCACAGGTTTTCATTGGTCAGTGTACATTCCGAGCTGGTGTCTGACCAATCAAATACTGGAGATCTGAGTTTAAGCTTAGCTTGGATATAAGTGAGAGCATGGTCTTGACCTAGTACAGCTCAACCGTACGATCCCTTGGCTGAGATGAAGAAATATTACACTAGGTCACAACTATCCACAAACTTTTCGATAGATGGTCATTTCTTCTTTCCTTTTTGGCCATCAAATTGGGAAATTTCAGAATAACTAAACAGGCAAATTTGCTAACAAAATCAGTCTTGGAAAACAAAACAAATGAACAAAAACTCTCAACAAACGAGTTTTGAATAATAATGGGACATTTTGGAAAAATATGAATTTTTGACAACTGGGAATGGAGTCCTATTAGTATTACTGTACCTTTCTTAAGGAAAACAAAACCATTGGTGATGTATTTATTACCTGAACCTCCAAATAAATGTTGATGTAATGAAAGTACATTTACTGCTTATCAGCAACTCGAAACTTAGACTTAAGAGAGACACAGACAGACAAAATTACTGAATATTTATAAATAATTCTGTCCCAAGGGCTGGTTTGAAACATTTACAAATTAAGTTTTATCTTGTTGTAAGGTTTCAACTCAATTTAGGTCACAATGTCACTGTTTAGGTAATGTTTGTTTTACCTTTGGGAGACTGGGTGGTAAAAGTGTTGACAATTTTTTGCTTTTTTTCTTTTTTCTCTCTCACATTTCAGAACTATTTTGTTATCAATCTGACAAGATGGAACTAAAAACACTTTAGCTCTGACAGACTTGTGGTTAAATAAATAAATATGGCTGACAATACACAAGTCTGCAGTTCTACAAACTTGTAAAGCCGAACATTTTTTTCTCTCATTCTTTTACTTGTTTTATAGTGTCTATTGAATCTTCTAACAAGACTGCATTTAAAATTGGAAAAAATTGGTAAACATTTCATGAGAGACAAATACAAATCATTTAACAAACTATAAAACCTATGTTGCATTATATAATAGTTATATAATTTATTATTCTTAAATACTTACTATTCCTTTCTGTTTTATCTGGCTGTTTCTGTTGTTTTGGAGGTTTACTTTCTGTCGACAGCTGTTGAGATCTGACAGCACTTCTTAACACTCGCTGTGTGGGCTCATCTTTTTTATTCTCGTCTTTTTTTAATTCACTATCACTTTTTGAATCATCATCATCTTTATCGTTCACTTCGTTATCCTGAGGTTTACTGCCACTATTCACATCACTATAATCCACTTCCATATCTACATTTTCATCACTATTTTTATCACTTTCCCGCTGATTTGTATTCATCACATATTTATTATCCCAATTACTAGTTACATCCGAATCTGTGCAATTTTGGACTGGTTGCAAATTTGTACTGGTGTTTGCAGGTACCTGCAAAACACCAGTCTCAGCACACTGGGAATCTGAATCCCTGTCCTGGTCTTGATACGGATTTATCACATAGGGTAAAGCAGACTTCGTCCCAAGCTTGAGCCTTTCATGAGTGTGTGTAGGAGTGGAAATGGCCTGTGACTTAGCAGGAATAATGATTTTTAAGGGTGGAACTTTTGGAGTACAGGGACGGGAATCTTTACTGAGACTTTCAGTTCGATTTGGTGAGCAAGGTACAAGAATATTTAATTTATCACTATCCTCATCTAAAGTTGAGGTCATTGGGCACAAACATGAATCTGCTGACTCAGCACTAGTCAATGTTGTAGATGATAATTCTGTCACCTTATTTGTAACACTTTCCGATTGGTCGACACTTTCATCACTTTGTTTTGGACAATTATCATCTGAATTACTAGTCACTACAGTGTTGTTACCAAACTGTTCAGCTCCTGAATTTGACAACTCAGACGGCTCATTTAATTCTGTACTTGATGTAACAGAGGAATGATTTACTCCACTATAACTGGGAGATTTTGCACTAGATGAACTAACAGAATTACATTCTTGTGCAAAGTCAGGAATTCCATTGTTTTTATGATAGTTTGTGGGAATGGAATCTGAAGTATCTATTTCTAAATCGGGTAATTCCATAGAATCTTCATTTTGAGACTCACTCCACTGTGAATTAGGTTTAAACGGAAAAGTTTCCATTTGTTTTAAAACAGATTTGCTCAAATTTGAATCACTAGTTGTTCCTACTGTAGAGTTATGATCATTTTGATCGACAACATCAGTATCTTTTTCTGGAAATACCTCTTTCACATCGTTTATTGCGTTACCATCGAGTCTTAACGCTGGAATCATTAAATTTGACTTTGTATCAAACCTTAATGTATCGTCTTCTGGTAATGATATTTTTAACTTGCTGCCTGAGAAGTTAGATATACTATCCAATCCCGGATTGTAAAGGTCACTATCAACACTTGAAGCAGGGCTATCAGATGGTGAAAACATTGGAGTATCTATATTAGAATCAACTGACATATTTGTTACACTATACGACTTGTATTGTGGCTCATTTGAGTCTCGAGATTTCTGATTTGTGTAACCAAAATTATCACGGTGAAATTTTAAACATAGTCTTGGGGATGACAGTTTGCCGTCGGGAGATTTTGGCATTGAGAGGCGACGGCTTCCTGATGATGATGAAAACGATTCACTCCTGTTATTCTGGTGCATATCTGTAAAATACAATATTTATTTATAAATTTGTTCATACAGTATGAAGAACAGTATCCTTTGGGAGTCAAAAATTTTGGTTGTTGTTGGTAATGCTAAAGAGATGTTAAATTTATTGTGCAGTCTTGCTTTGAGAAGAAATGATACTGTTGTTGTAAATACTTTATTGGTCTATAGAAGGTTGCTCTACAGAGGTTGCACTGTAATTATAACAAAAGAGGTTCAGGGTAGATTCAAACTTTATAGAGGACAGGAGCCCAAATATTCATGGATTTCATATAACTTTAATCACAAAAGGACACCTTTGCTGGCCAGTAACATATGAGGCACCTGATAACACATCAAGTATAAAAATTTATGATAATTTTAACAATGTTAATGAACTTTACACAAAATGCTGTCCTTTTCTCATTTTTTCAAATTAAGTGAAACATTATGTGAAGTCACATTACAGATTAACAACTATAGATGATAATACATTCAAAATGGGTTTTGCCTCTTTTACTCATACCTATTAAATTCCATTAGATCATTATCAATATAAAGGTGAATAAGTTATTTAAGGCTTCATCATAAGGTTTTATAAAAGAAAGCTGCACGAGTCTCCTACAAATAACCTCTAAATCAGAACACATATATCTCATATAATTAGAAAAGACAAAACCTCGGTTTCTAGCTTTTCATTTCTTTGAAATCCAGTCTGTGATTTCAGAAAAGTACAGACTTAATCACTGAATACACAGACATATCACTGAGTGCTAGCTTCCAGCACACCACATGTGACATTTTCTTATGTTTGGGTATATCAGATCATACAGAAATGAAAATTAACCTTCTAAATCTAAACTCTTGTCATCATCTTTCAGTGAAATGATACTGTCTGGGGACATTGGTGACCGAATGTCTTCTATACTAGATGTATCGCTCCCTGAGCAGATTGTTTCTTTCTTCAGAATTTTCACCATGTCAGGAGACGGTGCCACATCGAGCGGTGTTTTCCCCTTCGCATTCTGTTGGAGAGGGTTAGCGCCGTGTTTCAATAGTAGTTCTACCAACTGAAAGACATAAAGTAATCAAATATTACACATATGTCATTTTATCAAATCCTTTGTGTTACAGAAGAGATATAATTCCACTGGTCAAGGTAATCTATTATTTTACTAATTCTTTAGATCAACCTTCAACTATATGCTCTACAAAGTTTGGTACTCAATTAATAATTTTTTTAACTTAAATGGATTAAACTCAAATAAAAGTTCAACAATTTGCAGATCTTGATACAATCATGATTAGCTTCATGTTTTCTTTTTTAAAACCCTTAACCTGTTGAATTTGTGCAATGGGATTTGCCTTACTTGAGTTTGAACCAGTCCATTTGACTTGTTTGGTTTAATGGCACACAAACAAAATTTAGGACATACAAGGCACCAGTCCATTTGAAGATGAAAGAATTTAGCCATCAAAATACAAATACATGTAATGAGCTACCAACAGTATACAAACTGGTAAGATTGCAGACTGGCCTGGTTCTATACTGGCGGCAAAGGCTAGCCAGCCGCTAATCATATTTTCGGTTCCAGCAGGATATAGAATGTAAAGGTTTCTAGCTATAGAATACTGTACCATACAAACAGTTCAAACCATTATGACTCAATCAATATCCTATTATAGGTTTATTGATCTATCAACAATAGGCCACAAATATACTAGATAATTATATTGACAAACAAGTCCACCATTACATGATTTGTGTATGTTAGTTGTAAATTGGAGATAATGTGTTTTGACAAGTTGAAATAGTTCAATGATCTTGTATTGAGTACAGGTTTCTTTTTGTGACAGAACTTCATATGTCAAATGAGAAGAATTTTTTTCAAAAGCATACAAGTATTCAATATAAATTTCAATTCTTTTCCTGGAAAGACTTTCAATTCTTTTCGAGGAAAGACTTCAGGAAATTACTTTATACACTTTATATATTTTAGTACCCACTTTTTAGCAGTATCTTCTAAGAACTTGGTTTAAATTGTTAATTTTCATGCAAGCCACCTTCATACAGGTTATGAATAACTGACATGTCAAATATTACATTATTCAAGTCTTAAATGCCAAAACATAGGTGCAGTATTTCAAACTTGGCAAATTTATGTAAAATTATACCATTCTTTTAATGATAAGAATTACAGGAATAGACGAACTAGTCTAACCCCTCAACTTGACATTATAATAATGTACAATAAACAATGGTTAATCACAATTAATATGCACTGATTGTTCATTACTAATTTATGACTAAGTATTGAAATGTCAATACACAAGTGATTGATCTTTGCACCATTTCTCATACAGTCATGTCTGTGTGATAGATTTTCTCTATGAGAATTTAATTAAGATCATTATTTATTTAAAGCTTAATTGTGTAAGATAGTTGAATGACTCCTGTGTCTGCTAGCTGTGGCTGACAGGTACTGGTGGTGTTATATGAGGAAACATTGTAGTTATCCTAATAGGGCTTGAACCTACGATCCATGGGTTGGGAGACAGAAACATTAACCACTACTCCCCGGAAGTAAGATAAGGTTCAAGACAAAGAGTTTATAGCATATTCAAATGAGTTGGCCAGTTAAAGTGGCCTTCACTTTTTATTTTCAGTTGGATAAATAATTCTGTGTTGTTTCAAACTAAGTATTTCAGTAATTGTATCTGGGAAAAGTGCATGATATCACTGTTAAGCCTTTTTTAAGACAGTGTCCCCGAGAGCTATTTATAACACTTCAGTGTCATTCCTGTCTAAATACAGAAGATCTCCGTTTAACTAATTTAAATAGAGAAAGCGGACGGGTAGATTCTAAGGGTTTCCTTATTGTTTATGTATTTTATCGCTACAGATTTCATTTTCCACCTTAATTCTTTTGGTTTGAAAATTATCTGAAATGATTTATCTGTGTGTTTGTTTGTTTCATTTTACGCCTTTTCCCAACAGTATTTCAGTCATATAGGCTGGTAGTTTCCTAACCATCGTTCCTGAAGTGTTACACCAGTACTAAACTTCCTTCCTCCGTGCTAAACTACCAAAGCATCTCCTGGGGATTGAACCCACGCCAGAGAGGTAACTGGATTAGAAGTCATCGACTCTAACCCCTCGACCATGGAGGCCGTACAAAGAAATAATTTATCTAAATATAACATATTCAACCTTTAGAAAAGCTGAAGGACGCTTAGACACTAATACATGTACAGACTGATGTAACTAAAAAAAGGCAGAAATTCTAGAAGGAAATACGAAATAAACATAAACTGAGCATAAATTCAGAGACTGAACTGAAACTTTGCCAGTCATAAACTATATTTGGACATAAATCACTCGACACTCGGATTATTTTACAGGTGGGGGAATATGATAAATCTGTGCCTTATTATATCAACTTTAGATAAAAATTGGTATTTTATTATCTCCAACTATGATAAATTATTTCGCTTAACAGGATAAATCATCTATTTTCTTAATTTACATCAAACTAAAAATGTATTTTGTTTAAAAAAAAAAAACGCCGTCAACAGTGTCATAACGAACATTAACTAGGTCAATTATGGTACACGAGTTTCCTGCAGAATTCAATACAAGTACCATTCATCATAACACCACAATCAATACAGTGTCTCAAATTATTACAAGGAGAGCCAAATCATTGAGGAAAGAAAATCTCCAGTTTCCTAGAGAAATTTGTCGGCTTCATTAATATATTTTTTTTTTGAAACTTAAAGTGAACTGACTGAAGTACTGAAACACTGGGTGCTCCTGTGTTGATTATTTCAGGAACAAACTGGTAACCAGTCATGATCTAGCAACTTAGCTTTATGTATGAATTACAATAATGTTCCATAAGGGCAGATGGTCCATATTGAATATTGTTTTCTTAGAACCCATCCTTAATACCTTAATGATTGTGATGATATAAAAAAAAGGAAAAGAAATATCTGATAACAATCAAACAATGGAGGTCAGATTAGAAATTTGTTTTATTCTAGCGGTCTGTTCTTTACAACTGGCTCCTTAGTACCAAAAACAAGTATAACTATCATAGAATGTATTATGTAGTAACTCAAGACCTTTATGCTGACAATGTGCTCCACTTTTCACCCTGCTTTAACAAGACAGAGAATGGGGCATAACTTTGCAAAACATAATTTTTGGATTATCTGCCCTTTTGAAATGGCATCCTGATATGACAATAAACATGTATACCAAGTTTGAAGTGAGTAACTTTTATAGATCCTGAGAAAATGGACCTTAAAGAAAAGGTTAGTAGACACGCCTGGGTCAAGGCAATAGCTCCACTTTTTATCTTAGAAAAGTGGACCTAATAATGTCAAGCATTTTACTTTTTAATTTTTTTTTCTTAGAAAAGTGGAGCTAAAAATGTCAAGCATTTTACTTCTTAGAAAAGTGGAGCTAATAATGTCAAGCATTTTACTTTTTAGCTTTATGATTGCAATGTTGAGTGTTAAACTGTTTCATGTATCTACAAATTCTCAGAACGGCTAAGATGCTGGTACAATTGAATTACTAATGGTCTGACAAATACAAAATCACATATCATGTGGGACCTGCATTTCATTATCAATCAGGACCAAAATTGAATCAATACATTTGGAAGCCTTCTCCTTTTTTTCCCATTACTGTTAAACGTAACTATATACTGGTAATAAGGTAACATGTCAAAGTTTTTTCTGAATATTTTCAGTATTCAGTGAGAATAAAATAAGACCGTAAGACACTCGGAGATCTCTGTATATAGAAACAAACTGACATAAACATATTGACATTTCACCAGGAGCTCCAATGTTGACATAAATATCAAATAAATAATTTGCAAACACAACTTGAGAACATGCTTTCTTTATCCCACAGGCTATTTTTCCAATGCTAATTAAATCTATCAGTATGCAATGTATAAATTATATGTATATACAGAGCTATGCACTTATTTTCAGTCTGAAAATAACTTAGTTTCCAAACAAATCTGCAGGGAACTAAAGATTCAGGAAATTAATACAACAAAAGCATATGACTGAGTGATTTTGTGAGCTATGTTGAGTTTGAGTTACATGTAAAAAGGTTAATTAGTCAGGAAAGACACCAAATTCTCATTCCCAGCAGAAGCATTGGTTAAATGTAGTGAGATTAGAACCTTCAGAGGGTGTGGTTCCAGGGATTCGATTGTAGTCAGTGACCTCAACTGCTTAGGAAGAAAGCTTCAAGACTGATCACAAATTTCTGATTTTAAACTGCCACCAATATAATAAAGGAAATCAGTTAAAGTTGCTAGTGGCAAATGATTCTACCAATGGTAGCTGAGTAGACCAAAATCAGCCAGCACATCTGTGCCATCTGATCATGGTCTGCATTGTTCACTGATCAACTAGTAATATTTTTTTTGAATTTCTGGGAAATTCCCCAATAACGATAAATGGTTGTGTCCAGATTAAAATACAGACAAGTCCATTTAAGATATTTAGTATAGTAAGGGTTGAATATCTACCTTTCTATGGCCATTTATCGAAGCATCATGTAGTGGTGTATCATTTTCTAGTCCCTGTACATTCACATTGGCCCCAGCTTTTAGTAACTGTTTTGCAATAGAGAACCAACCTCGGTTACTGGCCTCATGTAATGGAGTCCAACCTGTAATTTATTAAAATCATATATAAATGAAAGTCATCGCATACATCAATTTCATTACAAATCTTACATTTATATTTTATCTTTTCAACTTCTGTTTTTTCACCAGGAAATACAAAAAGTCATGTAATGTAAACATATTAATATGATTGTATGACCAACTATTGGACTATATCAAAAACAACATAATACTCACTCCTTAGTATTGACCAGTTTTTGTTTTCTAAATTATAACCCACTCCCCTTTCCCCACAAATTAAAGAGTACATGTTTACCAACTATCATGTTCAGGATGTGGCTGTTGGTATAAAATGTTACAAAAAAACCCAACAAAAACAAACTTTTTTTTCATCATTAGCTAAATGTGACAGCGTAAAATGAAATATATAATTGCATTTACATTATTTTTTTTATGTGTGTCATTAAATCTCCATTCATCAGGATATGAAGACACAGATGGATTGTTCCTTTATTTTGTATAAACTATAATAAACTTAGTTATATACTCGAGGCTTTGTTCTTTCCTTAGCCAAAGAAAAACCTAACATAATTAAAAGCAGTACAAGATATTGTGTGTAAAAGGCACTATAAAATATATTTATGAGTATTCCTTCATTTATATGGCATGTTATATGGTAGATGATACGATATAAAATAAGGACATTATTGTCTTTTATGGAAATTCTTAGCAGGCTAATCTTCCAGAATAAAGTTAATGTCAACATTTTATGAAAACATTGTTTCATTCCCATATTTACAGTTTTTTTTTAAAGCTAGGCTTGTACCATGCCAAGGGGTTGGTCTAACACCATGACCACAAGATAAAAGATAGAACCTGTGTCGGTTTTAACTCCCTAATTATACTGCTGAATTTGCAAAACAGGCTTGCCCTGCTTTGAATTTGAAACAGTTCATGAATAGTTGCTCAAATTCGATACTTGAAAATATTGACAATTGCCACACAGTCTCATTGAAAATATAAAATAAACATGTTTTGACTTTAACCAAAGTAGATATGCTATATGTTTTAAACTGTACACACTGTAGGTGGACACAGCATGAATATATAGTGACGTTTTTTTTGTTTTTTTTTTTAAAGAAAAGACCAACTTTAATTGACATGTAATAGAGAATGTTTCACATGCATAATTTGTACTTTCTTTTATCCAAAAATTAGACATGTTCAAAGAGAATTTTATACATTTCAATAAATATCTGCAATTAAATAATTTTAGATTTATAAAAATTCAACTGAGAAGCCAATGAAATAGTCTGGTCAGATGGTGTCTTGTCAGACACATGGATGCACAGAATGGCCTAGCTCTATAATAGTGGCATATGTATGTTATTATTGATGATAATATATCGTTAGCCTGCTGGCGGCAACTGATTCTACCCATGCAAACAGTGCAGACCAAGACCGGCTGGCACGTCCATGCCGTCTGACTGTGGTCTGCACTGTTTGCTATTGTCAGTCAGTAGATGATTTGAACGTGATAGATGGTTTTGTCCACAGTAAAAGATGACCATTTAAAACTATTTTAGCATGGCAATAAGGTTATTAACATAAGAGAATTAATAACAAAACGACTTGGGATATTTTAAAACTGTCCTTCGTTGAAACGATTATCGATAATGCTATTTAGAACCTATTATAATACTTTTTTCATAACCTTTCAATATTGTACTTAGTGTTCCATTCAACTGAGCAAACATAGCACAAAAAATACACACTAATTAACATTATAAATGACTTGAAAAAAACTTCAAACACTGTGTAAACATTAACCCTAGCTTTACTTGGCTTTTTTATATTGTAATTTTAACTGGGACACAGTACATTAACCGCACAGCACTTGGTAAAAATATAAATTTAGAAATGTCATCATCTGTGAAGAAGTAGATGATATAACCACATGAGATCGCATTTCCTTTAATGCAACACAATAACAAGAGAGAAAAACTTCACAAATGTTAATGTCTCTGATTTCAAAATCTATGTACATGGTACAATATTTATATTTTCCAAACGCTTTTTACTGTTAATCTCCTAGATCCATAAGTGACACGCCTTTGCCACCGGTATAGAACCAAGCCAGCCTGCACATCAATACATTATGGACCTACACGTTTGAACCCAAAATGAGGCAACATTTTCTGTTTTTTGTTGATGTTTTTGTTGATGTTTTTGTTGTTGTTTTTTATACTCTCGGAACATTAAATTTTATCACTCCTATAGCTTGATTGTAAGGACATAACCATTTTAGAGTGAGTTTTCTGGGACAGACCAGTACTGGGTGTTGTATAAGGAAACATAGACCACAATCCTTCAGTCGAGTCCAGGCAGACAGATGTATCTCAATAAGCAACTAAAGTAGATACTGGCTTCTACAGACTTATCTTGAAACCTTATTTGTTTCATTTACAGTCAGAATATATATGTATAAAACAGATGTATAAATATTTGAACAGAACTTGTTTGTTAAAAGGACACAGGAAAATAAATATATACACTTTATATAATTGCTCTTTATAAATCTTACAACCAAAAGTGATTTACGCTTAAATTGTTTTCCAATAAAATTATACATGATCTATCTATGTCAGGTCAAGCAAATACATTAATTTTATATCTGGATATACATCAGCAAACTTTTACGATATATAAAGCACATTGGTATGAAGCCAGGACAGCTTGCACATATATGCAGTCTGACCTGGCTTTATTCTATAGGCTATTTTGAAAGCAAAATTTCCCTTTAACAACCAAAGCTAATTCAAAGCCCGTCAAAACAGCCAGAAGTTTAATTACTGTTGACCTATATTCACCAGTAAATACCGAGAATAGATTATATCTTAATTAACAACTACCACAGTTCCCCAGCACTAACAATGGCAACAGCTTGATTGTATAACAGCCTAGGAATGTAACTATCTATAATGTTAAAAAAGCTGCAACATACTCTATATTTTTCTTTTTATTCAAACCAGCTAAATCTAGTTTACAAGAGGCCACATTAAAAGTCTGACTGTTTTCTGACATAGTGAACAGATTTTTTTTATACCCCCCCCCCATACAAATCTTTAGGATCTCTTCAGAAACAAGTTTTCACTAGATACAGCAAATAATGTCTCTGTGACAGTAACAATTAAAAAATCAGTCATTTCAAGCAAACATCCTTATTTTCACCTAATTTGGCCTAAACTCGCAGTCAACTAATGTCAAACTAACCTGGGGATAAAAGGAACACATAATATTTAACAGTCGTAAAAACTGCTCTCAAATTAAACATGCACATCCCGGCATACTTTATTATAACCTCTCCAGTATACATCCTATTTCAGCTTATTCATTTCCCTTTAACTTGAACAAAATTTCTACATTTAAGACAACCATGTGAAATGAGATCAACCTGATAGGAAAGCTTAAAATAAAAGCAAAGCAATGAAATAAGACCTGCAGTGAAGTTTGGGATTAGATTTCATTGAAAAAGTCTTTTAAACTAGAGAAATCTCTGCCAACCACCACCTGTAGAGCTAGGCTTGCACGCCCACCTGAGCAAATTGCGAAAGCTTAATGCAGTTGGTTAAGTATTATGGTGCTAAAATTCCTTACAGTTACAAAGTACTATTCTAATTATAATGCAGAACAATGTTATTATGCAAATTCAGCAAGATTAAAGGATGGCGAGTTTGTATTTAGCTAGCAGGAACTTAATATCCCCCTCCCTCAAAATCAGAGGAAATATAGCTTGACCCTTGTCAATCCACCAGGTTTCATCCGCCCCCCTGTCCTGCTTTTCATCTTTATACTGACAAAGCAACAGAATATGAAGTGAAGGCACCCATGTTTCAAGGACATACATGTATTTCTAATTTTTACAGTATTTACAGTGTTTTTGTCATGTTTCTGTTGGCAATCGCCCATTCAAGCCTAGATTTTGAACCCATTTTCTACATGCTGTTTACATAAGCAAAACATGCCTGTCAAAAGATAACATATATTTGATGTAGTGCTAAAATTTTACTTGAAAAGAAATATATTGATCTTTCACTTTCAAGGCTTTACTTCTTTTATCAGCAAGGGTTTGTAAGATAGTTTCTAAAAGAACTGTAAACTTCAAATAACTTATTTTTGTGCCTGTTTTGCCCCAATTCAATAAACAATAAGCAATGGCCTAGACCTATTTCCTTCTTGTGCAGGTAGATTTAATTCATACACAAAGCATTACACAGAGCTTATCAATCAAGTAACCCATATGACACCATAAATAAGTTGGCAGCTTACAAGATTTGGTTCAACAAAAACTTATATAAAATGATCAGAATTTCGTTTCATAAGCTTACCAGCAAAATCTGCGACATTAACATCAGCGCCAGCTTTGATCAGTTTCTTCAGGAGCTTGATGTCACCTTTGATGGCCGCTATATGTATGGGCATCTCCCCACGCTCATTACGCTTGAACACTTTCTTGTCGAGCTGTGTTTTCTTTATCTGTAGCAAAGGAGTTGGCGACGGCGGCCTGACACTGTTATCTGAAAATATTAATAAATAAATTATTACAGGAATCATTACATAACGTTTTTAACATAACCTTTATAATTATAAAGATTTAGTTTATAAATAGTATATGTGTTTATAGCAGACACTGTCAATTACAGAAAAAGTACCTATTTACAAAACTTTTGATATTAATAAAGGTTTAGATAATTTGTTTGACTTTCTCCAGACAGACTAAAAGGTAATTCAATTGGGAAAATTGATAAAGTTTTGAATTAAGAACATGCAGGGAGCCAAAGTGTCAACCATCAAAAAGTAAAAGTCAACCATCAGGGAGTCAAGTTAACAATTAGGGAGCCAAATTTAATCATCAGAGGTAAAAAATCAACCATAAGGAAGCCAGTCAACCATCATAGAGTCTAAGTAATCTACTTCCGTGCCAACGCAAATCATCAAAGAGCCAATGTTAAAAGTTCCCCATCAGGAAGTCAAAGGCAACCATTACGGAGTCAATGTCATCCATCTTGGAGTAAAATTAACCATCTGAAAACCAATTTGATCCACCAAGAAGCCAAAATCAAACACAAGGGAGCTAAGTCAACCATCTAGAAAATGCAAGGTCAAAGGTGCAGTTCTAAAATACTGATTATTTGAAAATAGGAGCTATTTTATACCAATGTTCTTGTCTGGCAAAATTTTGTTTAAAACTTCTCAAGGCTGAACATATATTATAATAAAACTTTGTCTTTCACTGTTTAAACATTCATGAATACGTACTGCCAAGTAAAGAACAGATGCATGTATTTCTCTACTCATGTTTATATTCTAGCACCTAAAAGATTCCATTTATCTGTCTTAAGACCTAATGCTCACTGACAGTTCAGAAGCAGTTTCAAAATGCCTTTTAAACTTTAGACAGTGAATCCATTCAATTACACATAAATATTTAAAATCAGCCAGTGCAAACACAATTATTTCCCAGAAAATCTGACCTCAATAGTTTCCCAAAAGCAAGAAAGAAAGTAAAATAGTGAAAGAAAGAAAAAGAAACAAGGTGCCAAAATAAAAATTTACAGCCTTCAAAGTTCTGGCTTCAAATTCAAGGAAATTCTAAAACTGTTCTACAGGAATCTGAAGAGCTAAATGAGAAATCTTAAATTACAGCCAAGGAAGGAGTTTTTTTGTGGTTTTTTCTTTATAAAATTGTGAGATGTGAACTTTCACAAGGCTCGACATTGGTACACTATTTTGAAATCCTAGGCATGTGTTCTTTACCATGCCAAATACTGCCGATGGACTTGCCAAACTTTCAATCTGGACACAACCATTCCATCAATTTTTTGGAAAATTCTAAAATATTTTACGAACTAAATTAGTCAATGGTGCAGACCATGCTCCGATGGCATGGATGTGGTGTCTGATTTTGGTCTCCACTGTTTGCAGGGTATATTTTGTTGCAGACAGCTGGCTACAGTTTAATAAGGGATTTAACAGTAAACAATGTATGGTTGAATTACATAATATCTCAATTAGTTGACTATCCATAACCAAATAGAGAAATCGATATAATAACTCTCATAATCAAGACTCTTAGTTCATATCTGCAACTTCCTGAAATATATCAGATTGACACACTTGTTACTATAAAAACCCTTGTTATATAATGAATAATCAACCCTGTAAGACCAGTTACAAAAACAAAAGGTGAATAAATAGAACATTGATCAGCCTACATGTTTATGCAGTTTGACAAGGATTAAATTGTTCATAGTCAATGATGAAATCCCTATAAAATTCAATGTTTCTATTTTTGAAATTGGTATTCAATATAAAACAGATTAACCTACCAACCTACCTAGTCTTAACCTAGCCTACTACCATTACCTGCCTAAACTGAGGGAAATTTTTTAGCCTGCCTAAACTGACGGGAAATCTTTAGCCTGTCTAAACTGAGGAAAATTTTTACCCTGCCTGAACTGAGGGGAAATTTTTTAGCCTGTCTAAACTGAGGAAAATTTTTACCCTGCCTGAACTGAGGGGTAATTTTTTAGCCTGTCTATACTGAGGGAAATTTTTAGCCTGCCTGAACTGAGGGAAATTTTTAGCCTGCCTGAACTGAGGGAAATTTTTAGCCTGTCTAAACTATGTATGGGGAAATTTATAGCCTGTCTAAACTAAGGGAAATTTTCAGCTTGCCTGAACTGACGGGAAATTTTAGCCTGTCTTAACTGAGGGAAATTTTTTAGCCTGCCTTAACTGATAGGAACCAAAGATAATTTTAAGGCTGGCCAACTTGAAGCTATATGACAGTAGTTTAACATATTTTCCCATAAATCTTTATGATGACCTTTCCCTCTGTTTTTCTATCAGTACTTGCTATATTATCACTAAATGTCAGTATGTCAGCTAATATTATCTTTTCTCACAATATTGTCGCTAATTACACCATTATATCTTCTAAACCATGTATAACTAATATATATATATATGTGTATGTATGCTATTAATTGCCAACAACTAGCTTATCGATTAGTTATATAAGCATATTTCACAACTACATTTTTTTTAAAGTCAAGTATATTTCATCCGCTGTATTTACAGGCCTTTTTCACACAAAAAGTACCTAGCCCAGTTTGTGAAATTCTGCATGGTAAAATTGCCTTATTGAAAAAATATCGGGTACCAGATTCAAACTCTTTTTGTATTGTATTTCTAACTGTATTTTAAATTATACAACATTGTTTATTTCAAACAACACAAATATCAACCCATGCATGACATATAAACAATAAAATTTGAAAATAAAATGTGAGGAAACATCTGTCTGTTATTACAACAGAATTACCAGAAATTTCATTTTATTTGGGCCTTTTTCTAAAGATCGCGGACAAAATAAGCACACTGGGAAGAGGCATAATTTTTCTATACTTGACTTATTTTTCAAAACAAACTTTCACTTTTGCACAACTGCACATGAAATGATATTGAAAGTGTTACTAAAACAAAGCAATTTAGTGGTCTCTAAATTTAAAGTTGGACCCCTTTTTATAGTGACAGGTTTTTTATTTATGGCTTTTATACAGAGGTGGTTTTTGCTTCTTTAGTTTCCCCGCAAAAAACTATGTACAATCGCTGCACATAACTTTCCAAATTTGTTATCCATAAAAACTTTCATATAATGAACAGTATAATGTTATTACATTTTTTTCATCTACTCTAATTTGATAACCTTTATTTAGCAGCTGTGACTTGTTATGATACTTACTACCTAGAGGTCATATCTAAACTTATTGTCACGATTATCCATATCTATTTATGCAGAAAGTAGCTGGGTAATATTACATTTGTCATTTTTTTTGTTGGGTTTCAAGTTGCACTAACACAGTATAGGTCATATGGCAACTTTCCAGCTATAAATAATGGAGGAAGACCTCCTGTGCCATTCTAGGCATTATCTAAGGCACAGGCTGGCACCTGTGTAAAACCACAGAAAAGAAGCTGTAAGTTAGCTGGATACCTTCCTCCGAAGTCCCTTGTGGGATTTGAAACCACCTCTAGGGAGGGCCAAGTGGTTTGAAGTCGGAAACTTTAACCACACTGCCACAGACACCCCTTTCTCTGTGATTTAATAATTAAGAATTTTTCTACTTTATATTTTTGGGGGAAGAATGTTAAGTGCTACCATTATTTGTAATGTGTAGATAATCTATAACACCAAATAGTAAATTATATAAATCAAACATTTCTTGACACGAGAACGAAATTATAAGTTTCATACTCAATGTTTTATTTATAACAATAATAATGATTTATACATACACGTAGGAAGAAACCCCAAGTCATAATAACATTCATTAATTTTTAAAACAGGCAGTCATTAAAGCACTTTATGAGCCATTAAATGGGGGAAATGAGAATGATATATCCCCATAAATATCTTCCTTAACAAATCTGAACATTAAACTAGTAGTGTGGGAATTGATTTGATCATGTCAAGCCAGCCTGCACAATGTGCAGTCTGAGTTAACTAACTTATGTACTTCTGTTTGACCAAACTTTATACTGTTGGCTGCACATTCGTAGAGTCCGACAAGACTTTTATACTATTGGCTGCACATTTGTACAATCTGACCAGACTTTATACTATTGGCTGCACATTTGTACAGTCTGACCAGACTTTATACTATTGGCTGCACATTGGTACAGTCTGACCTGACCTTATACTATTGGCTGCACATTTGTACAATCTGACTAGACTTTATACTATTGGCTGCACATTGGTACAGTCTGACCTGACCTTATACTATTGGCTGCAAATGGATACAATCTGATCAGACTTTATACTATTGGCTGCAAATGTGTACAGTCTGACCAGACTTTATACTACTTTTGCTTAATGTAAGCCTTTAATATTGGAACCTCATACATTTACAATAGACTCAAAACAGGAAAAGTCCATTAAACAAGTTTAGCAGGGGGATAAGGTTAAGACACTTGGCAGCCTTTTATATTAGGACTTGATGACTTCTTGAAAACTTTCATGTATCATTATCTAGTCAGAAAAATTCCATATTATCTGGCAACATGTCATTTTTATCATTAGCATAACTCTGCTGAACTGATAAAAGCTAAGACACTGAAGGATTTTTGACATTGTTAGAATTTAATAAGAACATTTTAAGTGCTTTTCTTAAATTTTTATCTAGACAAAATATTGAAAATTGGCATCAACATTTTTTTTAAACCGAACTTTTTTCAATTTCTAGTTTAATTTCTGCTTTTACATCAGTCTCACAATCCCAAGTCTGACCTCAAAACAAATAGGAAAAAAAAATTTCTTCTCTTCAAATTACTGTTCTTCTCACTGATAAGGACTTATTCAGCACAAATTGCAAGTAATTTCTTGTCAATGCAAGTTTTTTAGACCAATAAGTAGGAAATTCCCCCCTTATAAATGCAAATATCTCTAAATAGAATTTGTCTAACTTCGACTTTATTTTTCTGATGCAATTTCCAATGTTTGATTCTCCTACTTTTTCACCTAGTTCAATAAAAATAGATTCTAGCTCTAAGTCCGCAATTGATTTTTCTAATGGGATTTGCCTTAAAGTGGTCAACCTCAGTTAATCCATGGTTTTGTAGTAGGATTAAATCTTAAAATTAATCCTGATATTTTTAAACCTGAAAGAGCTTAGGGACTGAGGTCAATGTATATGTAATACCAGGCATTTCAATTTAACAAGATTTGATCAGTGAGACTGGTACATAGAGGAAAATCTGGAGAAAAAAATAATGCTTTGGAATGATTAACAAAATCCTGCCTAAGGGTCAGGCTATACTTAACCCTTTCCACTCTGAATTTGTGTAATGAATTTGCCCTTCTGTAATTTTGGAGTAGCCCATTCCAAGTTTAAGGGATTTCAGTATAAAATACATAAATTACTTGAAAAACCTGAAGCTGGCCAGGCAACAGTATAGAACCTGCTCAGACTGCACTGGCCTGGTGCTGTACTAGTTTCAAAGGCTAATCACTTCCAGTTTCAACAAGTAATGACTTAATTACATAGTCATCTTCTACATTTACTAAGAAAATTGTTCAGTAAAATCAGTCAGTAAATCTTTATTTAAAAAAAGTCTCCCTAAAATCATCAACTGTTTTGTCCAGATTGTAAAATGGACAAGAGCATATAAGATATTTAGCAGGTTTACTATTAGACAGCCAACGAGATTTATACCCAAAGCTCATCAAACCAAAAATATTGGAAAGTCAAACCTTACACCTAACCAGATTACTTCACATGTTTTGAGAAGATTTATATAAGGACAGGACAGGATAAGACCTTATAAATAAAAGGAAGAACATTGCAGTAAAAGGAACCATAAAACATGTGATATCCAGTATTTCATTTCTGGCAGGCATCTGAGAATCAATACCATCATAAATCTGCATTTTTTGTAGACTTTTCATGCAATTTTATACACAAAACAAATTTTAGGGAAGATTTTTACAGCCCTCTATATAAACGGATGATTATTTTTTCTTTTTTTCGCTTACCTTGGGTAGTTTCATCCGACATGCGCATAATCATGGCTAGTTGTTGCCGTTCTGAGAGTGGTACCGAACGTGATCCTCCCCCTGGAGTTTTAGGGTTGGTCATAGGCGATGCTTCGAGGCTTAGACTACCACGTTTACGTTTATTAGGAGTTTTCTTATCTGTAAATTAATAAAGTTATTGTTAAGTTAAACGAAAAAGCAAACATACAGAATCACCCTGTTATTTATTTAGGCAATCATCTTACCATGAGAAAATATCTGAAGCTAAAACAATCTTTCATTATTTTGACATGTCAAGGCCACTGAAAGAATAAATTTTGCAGAATGCCAAATGTTTTTTCTTGGTTTTGACAATGCATGTGTTATATGTCAGCTTACACAATTATTTATGAAAAATAATCAGAAGTGTAATTAAAGGTCTGTTCCAACTTCCTTACAATCATGGTAATTTAAGACCTGTGAGAAAGTGTTGTAGTAAAATGTTAAACATAATCTTTTAATATTATTCAAGATGAAACAAAAATGGTTATTTAAATGAATCTTTCTCAACCAGTCAGTTCCTAAACTAAACCTGAAGAAACAATGTGGCTCTTTAAGCCTTAATTAAATACAGGTAAAATAATCATAAAATACGAGGGTTCAAATCCCTATAGAAGTATGAATCTTTTGTTCAGTCGAGGGTTTACTGCAAAACTGTAGTAAGTCCTTATAAGTTACTGCAGTTTTGCTATCAATCCTCGTTTAAAGAAGCTTTTGGATCATCAGTGAACATAGCAAGGTGAAAAATGCAATTATGCTACAAAGACAGGGAGGGTATCACCAGGTTTTTCTTTCTGCAGAAAAAAATGATGGGTGTAATTACCGACTAGGTCATTTGGTAAAAGTGGTGCAACATTTTACTGGTATATGGGTACCCAGCCTCAGTCGATATGCACTGTGGTATATTACATAGTTTCTTTAGTACTTGATCACAATATATGATCATGTATTTCAACTATTTCAAACATTAATTATAGTTTTAGATGTATATTCTCTTTCATAACAATCAATGTGTACTGCAATTCAAGTTTTTGACTATCATTGCCTAAATTGTTAAAATTTTATACCAGCAACCTGTCACAGAGTAAAGTAATTACACACTAACATACCATCATCATCATGTGTTGGGGAAGCTGGAGACAGTAGCTTTCTCTTCATACCCTTGTCATCTGGTTGAGGCGTTCTGACAATGAAAGGCTTCTCCTGAAAAAATAACGCCAATCACACTTAATAGATCACACTTCTACACAAAATTGTATTCTAAATAAGCACGATGTTATTTCAATTCGGAGCACAATTAGTGATAATGATTGCAAGTCCCCCTATATAGACATTCATTTGGATCACAAATTGTGATGTCTGTGAGAAATAACCATATAATTAGCTTCTGAATTTGTGAAATCATTAAGTTAAACTGAAAAGACCATTTTTGACCCATATCAATATCTATTTTTACTTTTTTTCATGACGTTTTAAACTAGTAATGCATCATACATGTATATGCATATAAGTTCTTTTTTCAGTAAGAAGGGAATAATTGGGTTATAATTTCCTCTTTTTTTTTTCTTTTTTTCATTTGGTTTTAAGTCACACAAACACTGTTAAAAGGTCATATGGCGACCTTCCAGGAAGAAGACCTCAGGTGCCCATCTGTGCATTGTTTCAGACAAAACTAGGTACCTGAGAAGAACCACTGTAAGGCCATCCTTAAACAAGAGCTGTCCGTAAGACAGCGCGCTCGACTTTTTTAGTGCTTGCCTATAATACAAAACATTGACAGTTAAGGGCCATAATTCAAATAAAATCTTTGACAGAATTACCTTCTCCTGGACATGTTTGGGAATCATGATTGTAAACAAGTATTCCAACTTTCAAATTAATATCTCAAACAGTTCAGTCAAAAAGTGGACTGGTACTAAAAACTTAACCAAGATTCTAAGTCGATAAAAGGCCTTAATTTTTAAAACAAATCCTTGACAGAGTTACCTTCTCTTGCGTACAGATGGGGGTAATGATGTGAAATAGCATTAAAAGTTTCAAAGCAATATCTCAAAGGGTTAAGGCAATAAGTGGATTTTACCCATATTCAATGTATTTTCTAAGTCAAAAAGGGGCATAATTCTGTCAAAAACCTTGACAGAGTTATGTCCTCTTGTCTGTTGATGAAGGTCGTGATGGTAAACAAGTATGGTCAGTTTCAAAGCAATACCTCCAATGGTTTTGAAATAAAGTGAGGTGGTACAAAAAACTTAACCAAGCTCAATACACTTTCTAAGTCAAAAAAGGGCCATAATTCTGTCAAAAACCTTGACAGAGTTATGTACTCTTGTCTGTAGATGGAGGTTATGATGGTGAACAAGTATGGTAAGTTTCAAAGCCATACTTGCAATACTTCTGAAATAAAGTGGGGTGGTACGAAAAACTTAACCAAGGTGTGACGCCAATGCCGACGCCGGGGCGAGTAGGATAGCTCCCCTTTTCATAGAAAAGTCGAGCTAAAAAATGTTCGTTTGCAGTAACGCGACCGACTCACAAAATTTGCCCCTACTCAAAATTTTTTTTCATGGTCTGGATAAAAAATTTTTTTTTTGAATCAGAAAAATATGCATTGTGCTTTGTTTTTGTTCTTTTAAAGGTAAATAGAAGAAATAAAATGTAGATCTTATTAAATTAGAATTCAGTTATCAATTTATTAATTGTTACCAGAATATCAAAGCATATACTGTCCAGCATTTTGAAATTCCATGTTTAGTTGGGAGTACAGTTCAATAAAAAAAAAAAAAAATCGACCTACCTACCCATCTTGAAAATTCAGGGTCGGGTTACTGCAAACAAATATTTTTTTAAGGATGGCCTAAGCTAGCTTGATAGCTTCCACAGATGAATAAATCAAATGTCCTTGACAGGATTCAAACCCACAATGTTGCATGAGGATCAAAAGGTTTAAAGTTAAAGACCTTAACCATTCAGCCACGAATGCCCCTTAGTAACTAATCAAAATGCCATTGTTTTCAATGTTAACATGTAAAGATTATGGACCCTAATGAATTGTTTAACATCAGCTAATATCATATAGTATCATGATAACCCTAAACCACTATTTTTGGTATTTTTTTTGCATGTTACATTGTAAGAGGGGGTTTTCCACTGTGACGTCATTATCGATAAAAATTTCAACATGTCTTCTTAAATGCAAGTTCATTATAAATTCATTAGGGTTTGTAATCATTAAAAAAACAAATAATACAGGAATACAGTTATCATAAAAATTATTACTGAAATAATACTATAAAATCATCATCATATCTTCTTCTAAAGTTGCACTTTTTCTATTGCCCTTTATAAGATTTCAATACAGTGATTTCTATTGCCACTATTTATCAGCTCATCAAAAGTATTTTGAAGACTGTTTGACCAGTTGGCAACCATTCAACACACTGACCTTTATGAATACAGACAGGTATACTTATTAAACTATTACCTGAACAGAAATCTAGGTCAAACCAACCTGTATGTAATTGGCAAAGTAAAAATCTATGTATAAATCCTCCACAAAAAGGGACACTTGAATTTTTTTTTTATAACAGTTGGTTTGTGAAAAGGCCACCCTTGCCATACTTTCATAAGGTTAAGTTGATCTTTTTTTCTCATATATAGAAGGGTCAGAATAAATGAGGCCTATTAATACACATGTATAATGGTCAAACCTAGTTTAATGATAAGGTCAACAACAGATTTTAATATATGTATACCTTGACATGTACAGTGTATGAGGTTTTTATGTAGCAGGGTTCTGTTTATGACATGGACACAATACACTGCTGAGAAAACAACTATTATGATCAACACAATTACACATACAGCCTTGACTTGTACATTAAACTTACAGCAAAACATGTACAACTTACATACACCTGCTAGAAAACATGGGTAAAATATCTTTACAAATTTCAGTATGTTGGATTTATTTCCTTCTATAATGCTATAATGGGTATAGAAGACTTTGTATAGAAGATTTGTTTACATCAGCCTTTAACTATTACATGTACTTTATTCATGAGTCCATGAATCAACGATCATCTTAACCTATTCTCCACAACAAACTTCCAACTTCTCCACATAATCGAAAGACAAAAAATTAATGTTTCCAGTTAGTCAATTTGTTTTTGAACAATCTACACAAAATGCTTTGTACTGCAATCACATTTAAAACTTAACATTCTGCGCTTATGTGGTACCATTCCCCACATTTAACAAGTCTGCATTTTGCCAGTGTGAAAAATCTAGGCCAACCAGACAGCTTAAAGAAATACAGACAGAAACCATAGTAAATCAACTTTGGTCAGTTATTGAATCTCCATTTTACCAATTATTGATCAAACCTAGCTATTATCTATTCCCATTTAGTTGTGATGATGGATAATTAAACCTAGAATATAAGATAATGAGTTAATATCCTCCTGCTAAATTTGACTCTTAATGATCAGTCTCCCATTTGAGAGGCAGGTGGGGATGGGGGGAGGAGGTCAAATGATTGGGATGAGGGGATAAGATATATGCAAGACATCATCAGTGACAGTAGTCCAGACAACAAGAAGAAGTTCTACTCCTACATCAAGAGCAAGGGTCAGGAAATGGTTGGTGTAGCCCCCCTGAAGAACATTGCTGGTTTCATTCGGAGTGACAGCAAGAGCAAGGCCAGTATACTGAACCAGCAGTTCAGCTCTGTCTTCACCCGAGAACCCACAGAGAACTTACCTGACAAGGGACCAAGTAGCCACCCCAGCATGTCATCTATTACAGTTAGGGAACCAGGAGTACGGAAATTACTCCAAAATCTTAACTGCCATAAAGCTGCAGGCCCTGATGAGATTCCGACCAGGTTCCTCCATTTAGCTGCTGATGAACTGGCACCAATACTTACCCGCCTTTTCCAGTTCTCCCTTGACTCTTCTGAAGTACCTCAGGACTGGAGAGATGCAAATGTAGTACCCATCTACAAAAAGGGAGATACACACATCCCGGCCAACTATAGGCCCGTCTCACTTACATCGATCACCTGCAAGATCCTGGAACACATTGTCCACAGTAATATAATGTCACACTTTGACACCAACCATATACTGAGAGACAACCAGCATGGTTTCAGGAAACGTCGCTCATGGCGAAACTCAACTTTTAACAACAGTTGACACCATCGCCAAGTATCTCTCAGCGGGTACCCAGTAGACGCCATTCTACTTGACTTCGAGAAGGCGTTCGACAAAGTCCCTCATTCCAGACTCCTCTACAAGCTAGATTTCTATGGCGTGAGAGGTCCCTTAAATCAGTGGATCAAATCCTTCCTGAGCAACCGCAAGCAACAGGTAGTCCTTGAAGGCACCAAGTCTGATCAAGATGATGTTATATCTGGCGTTCCCCAGGGAACCGTTCTAGGTCCACTTTTGTTCCTGGCCTACATAAATGACATGCCTGACTGCACATCATCTGACATCCGACTCTTTGCGGACGACAGCCTCATGTTCAGAGTCATCAAGAGTACAAATGACAAGACAAGGCTGCAACAGGATCTTGAAGCTTTGGAACAATGGGAACGAACCTGGCTTATGCGCTTCAATGCTTCCAAGTGCTATGTATTACACATATCATCAAACAGAAAGATAGATCACCAACACCAGTATATACTTCATGGCCAAGTCCTGCAATCAGTGGACCACAGCAAATACCTTGGTGTAACTGTCTCCAAACAACCTCTCATGGGACAAGCACATACAGAATGTAGCTGCCAAAGGAAACAGAACACTGGGATTTGTGAGGAGAAACTTGAAGGATTGTACACCACAACTGAAAGCAGCAAGTTACTGCACTTTTGTACGCCCAGGTCTTGAATATGCAGCAACGGTTTGGGATCCTCATCTTCAGACACACATAGATTCACTTGAGCAGATCCAGAAAAGGGCAGCCAGGTTTGTCAAAAATGACTATAAATCCAGAACACCTGGATGTATGACAGAAATGCTGAGGAGCCTGGATTGGAATACCCTCCAACAGAGAAGGAAGGAAGCAAGGTTAGGCATGCTCTACCGCATTCAACATGACCTAGTAGACATCCCCAAGGACAAGTACCTACCACTGAGTAACCAATCCAAGAAGAACACCAGTGACAGTAGAACACGTATACGTTTCTACCAAGAACGCACCAC